CATCTATATATTGATGACTGATCTTTCCCAGCAGTTTCTTATATATCTTGATCATGGGGAAACTAAGTAAAAGCCTGTAAAATGATAGAAAAAAAACGGCCAAAGGTTTGAACTTAGTACAGGTAGTCCTCAGCTTAACAACTGTTCATTTAGTGACTGTTCAAAGCTACAACACTGAAAAAAAATGACTTTTCACTTATGACAATTACAGCCTCCCCAGTCACATGATCAAAATTCAGACATTTGGGAACTGATTCTTATTTATGACTGTTGCAGTGTCCCGGGGTCATGTGATCACCTTTTGTGACCTTCTGACAAACAAAGTCAATAGGGAAGGCAGATTCACTTAACCATGTTACTAACTTGACAACTACAGTGATTCCCTTAACAACTGTGGCAAGAAAAGTCGTAAAATACAGCAAACTCACTTAACAAATGTTTCACTTAGCAACAGATTTGGAGCTCAGTTATGGCTGTTATGTAAAGGATTACTTGTACTAGAATAAAGGAGAGCCAGGTTCATGGCCAGTTTTAGACATAGAAGCTCATGGAGAAACTGGTCCAGTCACTGTCTCTTAGTCCAATTTATATCATCAGATTGTTGTTGGAAGAATAGGCTTTATATTACACTTAAATGTAAACATATAAGAAATGCAAATATTGATAAACACTAGCTGAAACCTTTCACTCAGGAATAAGTGAAACCATCGTCAACCAGTGGAGATTAGACCCTGGGTGGAAGTTGTCCAATATGGCTGGATTAATAGATGGCTTATTCAAGAAAAAGTGCATCATTGGGTATGTCTAGTTTAATGAAGAAAATGACGAGGGGGGACATGATAGCAGTGTTCCAATATCTCAGGGGCTGCCACAAAGAAGAGGGAGTCAAGCTATTCTCCAAGGCACCTGAGGGCAGGACAAGAAGCAACGGATGGAAACTAATCAAGGAGAAAAGCAAGGTAGAACTAAGGAGAAGCTTCCTGACAGTTAGAACAATTAATCAGTGGAACAACCTGCCTCCAGAAGCGGTGAATGCTCCAACACTGGATGTTTTTAAGAAGAAACTGGACAGCCATTTGTCAGAAATGGTATAAGGTTTCCTGCCTGAGCAGGGTGTTCGACTTGATGACCTCCAAGGTACCTTCCAACATTATTATTATTATTATCGATCATCGCACAGTCAGCCAGATGTTCAGACTGGATTTGGCATTTTGTTTCCTATCGAGTCCTTACCCAGAACCTGGGATAGGCAGATGTAGATGTTTGATGGTATTACAGATATCGTCGCAGGATGGAAGCAGTTCCTAGTAAGGCCGCCTTTTGCAATTGACTAATAGCGAATTTGTCAATGCCAATGGTGTTCAAGTGGTGCTCCAGTTGTTTTGGGATTGCACCCAAGGAGCCTATGACTATTGGTACTACCCTTGCTTGCTTTTGCCACAGTCTTTCTATTTCTATTTGTAGGTCTTTGTATTTTGTTATCTTCTCCAGTTCTTTCTCGTCTATTCTGCTGTCTCCAGGCACTGCCACGTCCACTATCCAGACTTTTTTGTCTTTCTTATCGACAATTGTTAAGTCTGGGGTGTTATGTTGCAGGTGCTTGTCTGTTTGAATTCTGAAGTCCCAGAGCAGTTTAATTTTATCATTTTCTATGACTTTCTCTGTTTTATGATCCCACCAGTTTTTGCTTACAGGCAAATGATATTTTTTGCAGATCTTCCAATGCACCATTGTTGCTACTTTGTCATGCCGCTGCTTGTAGTCAGTCTGTGCAATCTTCTTGCAACAGCTTACCAGGTGGTCCACTGTTTCTTCAGCTTCTTTGCATAGGCGGCACTTACTATCTGTTGCTGTCTTCTCAATTTTGACTTTATATGCATTTGTCCTTAAGGTTTGGTCTTGTGCAGCCAGAATTAGTCCCTCGGTCTCTTTCTTCAATTTTCCTGCTCTTAGCCATTGCCAGGTCTTGCTATTATCTGCTTTCCCAGCTATTTTCCTGCTCTTAGCCATTGCCAGGTCTTGTTATTATCTGCTTTCCCAGCTATTTATTATTATTATTATTATTACTATTATTATTACTACTACTACTATCATCATCTCTTATCGTAGCAACAGAGACTATATGCTTCCTCAAAGAAAGCATTAATCACTTTGATCCAATAAACCACCCCTCCTTTGGCTAGCAAAAGGGCAAGAAGGGGCACTGATCCAGCATGTAGGTGACAGCGCTCACATTACCAAGATTGCTGTTCATTTCATTTTGCTAGGAATTTGAAGAAGACCAGGTCAAGAAATAGGTGAGGCAAAGATTCCAGAAATACTTTTTATTGTACAGTAATAAGGTAAAGGCAGAATCCTGAAAACCTATCCAGAACTCTCCATCTTGTACTAAACAAAATCAAGATGGGGTTGCTTTTTCCTCACATTTTTTTCTTTTTAGGACTGACTGTGTAACTTTTTCTGCAAGTCCCTCTTGGTAGCTCACTCATTCCTTCCCTATCCAAAGGTCAGCTCTACATTTATTTCCTATCCCCTAAGCCAGCCCCTTCATTCTGCACCTCAGTGTTCAGAAGACTGGAGAAGCCACTTGGAACAATCACAGAACACACCCTTTTCCTCTTGAGGTTCCAGAAATTGACTAGATGAATGTAGACTGATCCTCTAAATTATTGTGAAAATCTTAAAGCCCAGATGGAAACAAACAGGACGCATAGGGCTTTCAGGCAGACAAACTGAACCCCTGCTCTTATAGAGATTGAGGGTGCCAACAAACTGTATGCTGACCATAATAAACTCCATTCTTCCAAATATCTCATATCTACAAATTCTATCCTTAGTCACTCAACTGTTCAACTTCCTTCCTTCTCCCAATACCAAGTTGTTTGTCTTCTACCAGACTTTGAATTACTAGCACCACTAATATGCCAAAAATCCTCTTTTTGCACCATTACAATGAGGGAGGGGGTTGAATTCAGTAAAGTGACAAAATATTAAACTTCTTTTATAACATGACAATATTTTCACATGCTCAGAATGGAAAAAAGCCCTTATCATTTCATCCATAAAGCTGATAATTTTTAGATGTCATTTTGGCTTTAAAATCACCCTATTAGATTAGACGAAGAATGTTTAATTCAATGAGCTTGATAGATCAGACTTTTGAAATCAGCCTCCTCACTTCCTTTCTTCCTTCTGACAACCTATTTTTTTCCCAGTTCCCCACATAATGCTAGTATTTCTCAGCCTTGGCAACTTTAAGATGTGTGCACTTTAACTCTCAGCTGACTGGAAAATTCTGGGAGTTGAAATCCACATGTATTAAAAGTCACCCAGGTTGAGAAACATTGGTTTAAAATGTTGCTCCAATCTCGGGAGCAGAGCCTAGGGAGATGTTATGCAAGTATTTAAAAAGCTAGACTTTACATATTTAATGGAACAGGGACAATAATTTATATTCTTGAACTGGAACGGAGGATTCCTTTCTAGGAGATGTATGTAAAAGCTAGACAAATCTATTATGGTATTTTAGTTTCAAGGTTGCTAAACTGAGTTGGCCTAAGCAATCTCTAAGATTATCTCCCAGTACTAAAATTCTAATTGTATATACTAATACTTTTCTCCTTTATCTACAGTGATTTTTCAAGTTTGGGTTTAGATGATTTCCTAAGACTAGCTATTTCATGTTTTTAGCTGTAGTTGCCAAGATTAAATTTGGATTTCTTAATCGGACACACAAATATCCACATATATAATGTCTTCCTTGAAGATATGAACTGCATCGCTATATAAACTATATACTAACAGGCTATTTTTTTTTTTTTTAGCTCACTCAACAATCCTGGAAAAGTTACATGGGATTTCAAAATAATTTACACAATCAAGAAATCTTCAGAATCTTCAAAATGCTTCATGCATTCCAGGGCATCCGTTTCTCAGAAAATAACTAATCTGGGGAATTCAGTAATGAGAACTTGTTCTGTGCCAATTCCATTGAAGTAGGCAGTTGAAGAAGCGATGCATTTTCTGGATGAACTCCATTGAAACAGAACACAAATAGCTCATTTTTAAAATCTAACCACAAATTAAAAATAACATGTACACATCATTTCAACCCTACTGAATCTGACTATATAGCAAAGGAGAAAATTCATTATTTTTTATTATCATGTCATATAGATAATGTCATCTGTAAGAAACACAAAATGAATTTCATGAAAAGCAAGAGCTCTGAAAGATCTATTAAGTGACACATCCCATCCATACAGCAAAATGTCAATTTTTAAATAGGCTGGATTGGCATACTGTGTTTCCCCCCAAAAGCTGAAAAATAAGCCCTAGCTTGATTTTTACACATGTGCTCAATATAAGCCCTACCCCCAAAATAAGCCCTATTTAAGACCCTGCCTGCTCCATCGCACCTGGTTGCACGAGATGGGGTGAGGCGCATGGGTAAAAATCAAGTTAGGGCAGGGATGGGGGGGTGGAGCTGCCCCATGCGCCCCGCACCCACTTACTTTAGGACAGTTGCAGCCAGGCCTCCCATGCCCCGACACCTGCCTTGCCAGCCCACTTCTTCTGCGGCCACTCGCCACCACCCATGCACATCGCCCCCAACCTCATTTTGCCATCAGAGGCCTTCTGGAAAGGCCTCTTCAGCTGAGAAATGAGCTCTGGATTGACCCCTTGGTTTCCCTTTCACCATCAGAGGCCTTTCTGGCTGCAGTGGTCCTAAGGTAAGTGGGTAAGACATCCCCCGAAAATAAGACCTGGTGCCTCTTTTGGAGCAAAAAAAATATATAAGACCGGGACTTATTTTCAGGGAAACACAGTATTATTAGAACTAATAGTATGCCAATTATTTTGAAACATCAATACACACACACACACATATTCTAATAAACGAGGCTAAAAAGTTAGTGTTCAAAGAAACCATGGAACTGATGTTATGCTTTACAGAAAACAAGAAAGTCAAGATATTAAGGCAATTGTGAATGGCATACTCCCTTCAAACAATTTTATTATTTGAGAACAAAAAGTTGCACACACAAAGACAGCAGCACTGTTAAAAAATAGCTTCACAAATAATATACAATAAAGAACTCAGTGGTTTAATATTTTAATTGTGTAAAAAACAACATACATACATCAGGTCTACCAACTTTAACTGAAGTACAACACAACACAAATTTAAAACAAAATTCACTTAGCCCTCCTTAATTGAACAAAAATTAAAAACTTCCTCCTTCCACAAAGAAAAAAGAAAATAAAAACCTTCAAACTTTGGTGCTATTCACAACCAATATAAAAAGTCTTGTGCTAAATAGACTCTGAATCTATTGCATTCAAAACTCACATTTGTCAGACAACTTCTCTTGTATGACATAAAACATTTAGAACTTAGAAAAATAGTACTGAACTGAAAGCAGCCAACTTCATAACCAGGATATATACATACACCTGTTTGTTTCTGAAAGGTGCCTCAGTCAAATTGCGAACATTTGAGTTACATACAAAATATTCTCTGTGTAAAAAGGTTAGACTTCACCAAAATTCTGTACACACGTGCTGTAGAGATTTACAATCTGACCCTTTTAAAAAAAGGCCCTAACACAAACCCTGTAGAATTAAATGGGGTCAGCGCTAGCAACACAGTTCAAGGACTGGGATTCTAACCCATCATTTAAGGCAATAAATATTCCTGTTGCTTCTCTTTAAACATTCACTTAGTTAGGAATACAGCTCAATGTGCGACAATAGTATAAACTCAACTTCAGAGTAAGACTTGTTCTGCTGAATTTGTCTGAAACAAATTATCAGTTAGCAAAATATCGTTCATCTATGATTTGTAAGCTAACAAGAAACCTGCTATCTTACTTAGGACAGATAAGCATCAACTCCAGATTAGAGATTTTATGCATCTGTTCAGAATGGTGCAGTTAAGGTCAGTTGGGTCTTTCTCATGATGGTAGAAAAATCCCTCAGCATAAATTGAGTAAATCTGGTTTACAACAGCCATAGCATAGCCTAGATAATCTCTACTTGGATGAACTGTACAATATAAGAAAACAAAGTCCATGGGAAATGCTGCAACTTAGATTTACATGGAATTTTATGCAGCTTTACTCTCCTGATAAATTGTCACAATTGAGGGCACCCACCAATCATTTGTATGAACTTTTTTTTTCCAAACTGAGGCCATTCCAAAATTCTCAAAAACCCTTCTGAAGCCTTTCTCTCTAAAGACAGATCACAATTGTTGAGAAACAAATCCATATAGAATGCTTACAGTGAACACCTAATTCAGTTAATGCGTTGAATGAAAGGAAAAATGAAATGAAAAAAGAGAATCCAAACAGGCCACAATATCTTACATGCAGTAGATATTACAACTGCTCTTGCATATGCTAACAGTATTTCAGGACATGATAGAATACCCCAAATCGCACTTAGAAATAACCCACATGGTTTGAAATGCATTATATATAATTCATATACATGAATATTCATTTATACTGTATATATTTACATACATATACACAAAACCACCCCGATGTTTTTAAAAGGCCATATCACACAACAGAAGATATGGATTTAAGTTTCTGAATCTTAGAATATACTTTCGCTTTAAAAAGAAACCCAATATGCGTATCTATGTATGGTGTAAATCATATCAACAAAAATAGTTTGTTACTAACATTACTTTAAATAGATGGTTTTATAAGTTTCCTTAATAATTACATATAGAGAAGACAAAGAAGCTTTGATTCACAAAAAATAGATAGCATTTGTAACAAGTACAGTTTTTAGCCCAGAATGGGAAGAAGTAGCAAAATGTTATAAATCTCCAAGGACACAGAGCACCTACTATATCAATTTAAAAAAATATATATTTTCAGGATGAACTAAATGAATGCATTGTCCTTTTTTTCACCTGACCCTATCCCACCTATCCTTTTTTCATATTTATCTTTTTCCCCTTTTGTTTCCAGCTGGGGGTTTCTTCAGCTGGAGAAGTTGTCCTCCTGTACCAAAACTTGCAGAGGCTGGATTGGACACCCCAAATGTCAGGCCAGCAGATGCTGTGATGCCAGGATTGCTGAAGTTAAACCCAGATGTGCTCGAATTGCCAAAGCCTTATAAAGGAGGGGAAAACATTTCAAAGTGAAAAGGTGTGATCACATTAAGGACAAAGGACTTTCAAATTTTTTTAAGCATGAAGTGCAATCTGAAAATGCTGGGGAAATCCCTTGCTGCCACATACGCTACATAGCATGGGAAGCTCTAACACTAAAAATAATGCTTAATAAAATGTAATCTATATAATATGGACAATATTATTGGGAGGCTGAAAGAAGCTAGTATTATGTCTATTCAATCTCAACACGAGAGAACATAGGTTTATAGGATTTGAATTTTTACTTTAAAGAGACGCGTTAAACTTTTCAAATTAACATTAATCTTTAGCTCAAAAGCAATGTAACCCTCAGAAGCTTATAATCTTATCACAAAGTAAAATAATACAGAGTCAATCTTTGCTACTTAAAGGCCTCTATATAGGCTGGAATTACAGCTCCTTGAATTTCCAATGAGCATAACTAATAAAAAACTTTGGGAATTGTAATGCTAATGCACCCAAAAAGTACCAAGAAAATTACTAAGTGTGGGTGGAACTTTTAGACAGTGATTTGGAAAAAAATGCTTCAAGCATTGAGCAGGCAGCTCTCTTCCCATCAATAAAACTGCCCAACTATTTTTAACCTTTTATGCAAATCTGAAAAGGTACTATTGGTTTTAAGACTCACATTAACATTAAAGACAGAAATGAAATCCAGTATTTTGAAAACATTCATTAAAACTGGACCACATGGAATCTTGAAAAAAAAATCAGACTAAATTAACGAAAAGACAAAAAGCACATGAGCGATCTAAAGCACTTCTTTTGAATCATTTTCAAAGTGTGCACAGAATAAGTATTATTATTATAGTCATGCTGAATATATTTAAAGGCCTTTTTACTCAGGGAGAAATTGTTCAAGCACAAGGAAAAGAAGCAGTTCTATTTAGGTGTATAGTGGGAAAACCCAGTAAGATTATTTTTTCCTTAATGCAGAAAAGTACAAGGACAAATGTTCTAAGACCAAAACATCCCCTTTTCCATTCTGAGACTGGAACACATCAACATCTGGATGAGTATCTGAATGTTTCTGATATATTTTAGGGTCAAAAAATTTCACTCTCAAAATATTTCATAAGACTCTATTTATAAGAATGATTCTAAATTCCTAAATAGAAAATATCAGTAACTGAAAGTGTTGTGTGACCAAACTACTTTGTACAGAGAACTTAAATGCCCCACAAAACATTCAGAACAGAACAAACCTGCACTAAGGCTTCCCGAAGGCTTATTTGTTGCTCCAAATCCAAATGACGGTGCACCTGGAGCACTGCTTCCAAAACCAGCACTACCTGCAAATCCTATGACAAACAGCAATAAAGATAGGAAACACAAGTTAAGGTGCGCAGGTCAAATTGCTTTTAATCATAACATGTTGAGTGAAGTTTATCACACAATATTTTATGAGTTAGGCTCTAGAATCTAACTAAACTGAAATCAACATCCCTTTGCATATATCGGTATTAAGAACCCACTGATTCATTGCATATACTTTTGCAAATCTGACAGTGGTCAGCCATGTTAGTTTGTATTAATCACATATTGTGATTTTAATCCTAGACTTCACATCTTTTATTCTTCTTTATGAATAAGAAAATATCCTGAATATTCCCATATAAGGCATCAGCTTATAAACTAATAGATAAAATTGAATTGTCCATGACTAATGACCCTAAGAGCTATAAAATATACTAAATATACTAGAGCAAAGATTTTTCACTAGATGCAAGATCTTTGGTAGGTGTGTGTGTGTGTATGTATGTGTGTGTGTGTATGTATGTGTGTGTGTGTAGTGTTATCAACTATATATATATATATATATATATATATATATATATATATATATATATATATATATATATATATATATGTTTTCTGAGGTTTTCGCGGGTATTTGTATATAGGTCTTTGGTTGTTCGGGTTTTCTCCCGCGTAAAATTGGAAGTGTCTTGGCAACGTTTCGACGAAGTCACATTCGTCATCTTCAGGCTGGTGTTTTTAGCTTCTTGCTTTGAGCAGCAATGTGTGGTTTTAGCTGTTTCTTCCTTTTAACTGCCAGTGAGGGTATGAACTGATATGTAGACGACACCTTCATAATCTGGCCACATGGGAAAGAAAAACTGGACAACTTCCTCACACACCTCAACAGCCTACACCCCAAAATACAGTTCACCATGGAAACAGAAGCTAACAACCAACTTCCCTTCCTGGATGTCTTAGTCTACAAGAAATCCAATGGCTCCCTAGGACACACCATCTACCAGAAGAAAACACACACAAACCGCTATCTGCACGCTCTCTCACACCACCACCCAGCACAGATCAACTCTGTAGCCAAGACACTCATCTCCAGAACAAAACGCTTAGCTGACGAACAACACCTAAAACCCGAACTACACACTCTCACCAATGTACTAACATCCAATGGATTCCATAGAAATAAGATTACAAACCTAATCCAAAAAGAAACCCCCACTAAAATCCAAGACAAAGAACAAGAAAACGGCAAAGCCCTCCTCCCATACATAAAAGGCACCACAGACAGAATCAGTAAGATCCTCCATAAACACAACATCAAAACAGCATTCTGCACAAACAGAAAAATATCCACCATCCTTAGAAACCCCAAAGATAAAATTGAATTAGAAAATCAAGGAGTATACGAAATCCCATGCACCACTTGTCCCACCACATACATCGGACAAACCAACAGAAGAATAAGTGCACGCATTGAAGAACATAAGAACTCAGTCAAAAAAGAGGAACCAACATCTTCCCTGGTCCAACACCTTAAAGCCACAGGACATGAAATTGACTTTAAAAATACCAGAACCATTGCCAAAAGTGAACATTTTAATAACAGAATAATCAGAGAAGCCATCGAGATAGAAAAACGCCCACACAGCATGAACAAGCGAGATGATACCTCCCGCCTACCAGCCATTTGGAAACCTGCCCTTATTGACAAACGACTCCCTAACCCCAAAATCTTAAACCCCTCTGCAACTCAGACTAACCTGAGCACAACCAAACAGAACACTCCCCCAGCCAATCAGAGCACAGCCAAGCCCCTAACCATTCAGAACACACCTCCACCCAATCAGAACACAGCCAAGCTCCCATCCAATCAGTTCATACCCTCACTGGCAGTTAAAAGGAAGAAACAGCTAAAACCACACATTGCTGCTCAAAGCAAGAAGCTAAAAACACCAGCCTGAAGATGACGAATGTGACTTCGTCGAAACGTTGCCAAGACACTTCCAATTTTACGCGGGAGAAAACCCCCGAACAAACCAAAGACATATATATATATATATATATATATATATATATATATATATATATATATATATATATAGTATAATAAAAGTTGCATGTTGGAAATAAATAACACCTTTACACAGAAAATCTTTAATAGTGAATGTGGCAGAGGCAGAAATCCCCTCATAATCATTTATAATCTCAGAAACTTTTCAGTGAATCCAGATTTAGTCCTACTTGCTAATCAGATCCCCTTTGTACTTTTTATGTACAACCAAGGAAGAATCTGTTTGGACAAGTCAGTTTCAGCCCACATTGCTACACATGCTTCAGAGAACACTTTGAAGGCACATGCTATAAAGGAAATATTTTTCTTATTTCAAGCAGGGCAGAACCTATTGTGGAATTTCTGACCAAACTTCAACTATTATAGGTTTTTAAAGTGTTTCCTAAGCATACTATAAAAAGATCTGCTGAAACTTGTGTGTTCTTTAGGTGCTCTGAAAATGTTTTATCAGCTCTTCAAAGGAAATCTTATTAGAATTAGTGAGTAACTTTATTATTGTGAATTTTTGTCTCATAAATTTCAGGTTAAATTTAGATACTATAGACAGATGTATAAACTAATTGTACTTCCTAATTAAATCCCAAATTATTCATATAATAATTGAAAACTGTAAGAACCAGATTTCTTCCATGTTATAAATTTGTAGACAATTGAGAGTTGATTATAAGATGGATGGTTGTATGACTATCTTAAATAAATAAGTAAAATTGGCTTAGGAAGTAAAAATTTACTTCAGATATAGCAAAAAGTTTAATTTTTTAAAAAAATCCTGTCTTTTCAAGTAGTCATACTTTTAAGTACATTGCATCATTAGCCCACTTATAGTCCCTTGAAGACACAGTTTTGTCTTTTCCGCCAGCAGTACTGGAAAGATTTGTGACAATAAATAGATAGATCCTTCTGCTATTCACTGCCATTGCTGGTAATGCCAAATACTGAATCTGAAAAAAGACTCTAGGTAGGTTTTGTAATACATTACATCCTCTACATTGATGTGATAGCTTGCGGAACAATTTAAATATTAAGAAAAAATTGTCTTTGTGCTTAATTTCTGGTAACTAAATGGGAAAGAGATTTGAAGTTTTAAGCTATTTGCTTTTTGATTTAAGAAACTAGTCCTCTGAAAGTGAAATATGACTGCAATGTAATACAAATAACAAGATGATTATTTGTGAAGTCTGAAAGGAGTTAATCTTTTAATATTTCTTTGATGTTCAGATTTGCAAGTTAATTCCTATACTTCCATTTATCCTTGATTACATAATAATGTAATTACACTATTGCTGTGGTTGCATTTTGCATCATTTTTAATTTATTTGGCTTTGCGAAAAGAAAGATCTCCAGGCTTGTTCACAATCTTAAGAAAATTAATACATCTCTTGAAGTGGGGTTAATTAGAATTTCTGGATCTGTGTATTAACAAAGGACTAATGGTTACCCGAACACTTCCCACTGAAATATCACCACAAAGAAAGTTGGTACACTAATATATTAACATATTTTGGGAATTTTTAAAATAAAAAAAATAAAGTGCAGTTTATATGCATCTTATTCCATAAAATTAAGGCACATAGCAAACTATAAATGTATTTAATACAATTTATGCAAACATGCAATTCAGTAACATTTTAGGAAATAATTTTTGTCTCCCAAAATGTCCATTTATGTAAAAAAAAAAAAAGTTTAAAAACCTAAATAAATTCCAGGAGAAAAAAGGTAACTCCTTATTACCAAAACTGTTTTCCCAACAGAGATCATAATGAAATAATCAGGAATAATATTTAACAAAAATAACAGTGCAAATAAAGCATCGTGTCTGTGAACTATAAAAGAAATCCAAGGGGCACTAAGGTTACCCTTTTCCCACTCTCTCAAGAAATGCTTTTAGCTGCACTGGCCTTTTGGACGTGAGCTGCACTGAGATTAATCAGAGGCTTGTGGATATTTCATATACATTAATAAGGAGTCCAACAGTGTGGACATAACACATGTAAAGATTACTAACACCAGTGAAGTGTGCTACTAAGTCAATTCAGGAAGTGCTGTAGAGTAATTCAGTGAAACATTAGGAAAAAAATATTAAAGAAGGGTACCTCCGAGGCTTGAAGAGCCTAAGCCACTTGACTGCAAGCCAGTGCCAATACCTGAACCGAAGGGCGTTCCAAAACTAATTCCCAGAGTCGGCTGTGGCCCTGGTATGAAAAAAATGAAAACAAAGCTTGCCTTACTGTTTCACAACAGAGATCCAACGATGCATACCCTTCATTAAAACTAAATCATAGCTTAACAAATGCTTTTTAGAGCACCCAAGCTTTCTTAGTGTCTTCAATGGCTAAATTTTAGATTTGGAATGCAATACAAAAGGAAGCTACTGGTAAAACTTTTATGTTATGCCAAAGCATGAGACCACGGTTTTATGGACAACTCAGCATGTCATTTTAAATTAAACTGTCAGCTCCTTGATGGGAGTATATGGGAGCAGCGCTTCTTTTAAAATCAAGGTTTATATATTAACACAAATAAAATCATCATGTTACCAATGTCTGGTATTAAAATACTCAGCTGAGTATTTTATCCAGTTTTTTTTAAAAGACAAACAAAACAAGTGGATAAAACACAACACAATAATTTTATTTTATTGAATTTATTTTTCATTTTTGACCAAGTCAATTACACAGTAACATGACAATTCAAGCTGGTTCACACAAAAAATGATAGTTACTGAGTTGTTAGAACTTTGCTACATTTACAACAATTTTTGCCTGTTTATTTAAACATTTACAGAAAAGGCACAATTGTGCACCTTACCCAATACATTCAAAAAAATTTCAGATTCAGAAGTTTGGAGACAGTGGTTTTCCTACATAAACAAACTGTCAAAATAGGCTTTATATCATTGTTAAAATGTCTATAATCAGTCCAGGGTAGGAGGTGATAATCTCCTTATTAGCCCCAGGTATAAATAATGAAACAGAAGTTCTAGGTTTTTTTCTACTAATTTATACAAGCTACTTGACAGTATTCACAGTACACTGTTTAAGTTCAGCAATTAGTGCATTAATTAAACTTGATGAATTTGTCAAGTTCAAATACTGTGCCTGCCTTTTTATATCTGTTCATTGTATCATGCTGAAGGCCAACAGTAAAATCTAGAAAATACTGTTCTAACACAATGCAGAACAGCACTTGCTGGATTCCCTTCTAATAATGAATGTCCTATTGTTACTTATAAATCCAATGGCGCAATCATCAAAGTGGAAGGTTTAATCAGTATGATAGTGTTTGTCAGCAAATGTTTTCCTTAAAACATGCCAAGATTTTTACATTTCATTTTTTTCCTGAATATTTATATTCTCTATTTAAAATATCACCCCACCCCACCCAAATTTTACCTCATTATTGCATTATAATACATTCATCTACCATGATTGCAATTTAAAATAACATTGCGAAAATACTGATGACAATTGTAGACTTTGATGTACAGGTCACACAATATGCATGGTCCATTTCTGGTTTTGTAAAGTTATAAATACTTGAACTTCAAGTTCTCACAACCATTACTTAGAGAAATAATTGTATATTAAGCAAAAGGCACTTTTAAAAAATCTTTTGCCAAGGAACGTCTTGTTCTAGATGACCGAATGCAAAAAAGAAGCTGGAATATTCATGGTAGCATAAGTTAAAGAGCAAGTAGTGTTGTGAATTTGAAATTAAACACTTATTTTGGCCAGCTGAGGTTTCATTTATACTTTAAACATAAGTTAGTTACACACATTATCTGAAGACTTTGGGTCAGTTGAACTTGGTTTTTATTTTAAATTAATGAGAATAAGAAAAAACATTGATTGCAAGGAGTTAAATTCTGAATCCAATATTTTAAAAGACGTTTTACATTTAGAAATGAAACTAGATGTAAACAAACTGATATATGTTAGTAATTAGAAGTTCTTTAAAAAATTCTCAGTCTGAGAATTAGTTAGGTTCTAAAAACAAAAAGCATCCAGTGTTTCCCTTTTGAAGAAGTGTTTCAGTTTTCCATCTCAGGAGGAGGCACCATCGGTGGAAGACCTTGAAAAATAATAATACTATAGTCCTCCAAGCCAATCTTGCATCTGAGTATGTTTTTTTCAGATTTTTTAAAGTAGTTCAAGACGACTTTATATTTAAACTTCATAAGTATAAATTTCATAAGTCAAGCTGACAAAACCTTTCAACTCAATAGCAATTTTGAATTGGCATAATTCTGTATGAGAAAAATCAAATAACCTCATTCAAGTTAGTTATCCACACGTGATTTAAACAACACTACAGATTATTCATGCCAAAATAAATTTTGCCACCTTTGGATAACATATAATGAGTTATTTAAAATATAAGTTATTTGCTGCAAGCTATTTAAAATTTACTACCCTAAAGAGCAATTTAAGTTTAATAAATAAAGCTTACTACTACTATAGCAATTTATTTGTGCTTTTCAGTATTTAGTATCACTATTTTCAATGCGACTTTCCTTAATGATTTATGTTTGGGATTGCAGCCTAACAGCCCCAACAAAATAAATATTCTGTATTAGGCTTGCCAAATACCATTGTCCAAACTGTTTGATATCAAAAAATAAAGGTGTAAAGCACAAATTCTATACATCTAGCCAAGAATCTGATTATTACATTTCTTATTAAAGACAATTTATCTTAATTTAATCTCAATACTGTAGTAAAACCTTGGATTTTATTCAACATTTGTTGAAACAGAAGGTCTAATTTAGTATTCATGCTGAATAGGTATTCATTCCAAGAAGTGTGTTAAACTGTATTCTCAGCAAGATCAAATTACAAAGTAAAGCTTTCAATGCTGAAAGGTATTAAGACTACACAACCAGAGGGAAGCAACCTTGAGACTTGCTGAACTACAACTTCAAAGATTCCAAGTCCTCTGGCTAGGACTGCCAGAACTTGCAATTCAGTAACATTTGCAGGGTGACAGTTTCCCCAACCCTGGGGTAAAATAGCCAATTCTTTAATTGCTCAAGATGGAAAAACACGATCATGTCTAACTATCTATACTAAACCATCTTTGCCTGAAAAGTCTTTGATGGTTAAAAAAAAGGAATAAGATTTTAAAAAGGAATCAATAAATTATTAATTTAATTTCTAAATAGCCAAAGCTGGAGCTGGCAAAAAGTTTAATTGCAAATAATGCTTTAAAGTAGAGCAAACAAAATTTCCTACAAACACGTAACCTTTCCCTAGACATTGGCTTGTAATTACAAAAATGCTTTTGGACTTTAAAAATGCAAACTCTTTTAATATTTCAAATGTGATTAATCAATTATTTTAATGGCCTTTCAAAGAAACTTATTTATTTATTATAGAAGTCTCTATAATACACTATATAAAGACAGACATTTTCACATACATCTAATCTCACTAATATCAACCTACCACATTTTATTTAAACACAAACTGAAAGCCTACTAAATATTATTTGTTTACTGTTCTTTAATGGGCATAACAAAGTTTAAATATGGGTTGAAGGTCTCAGCATAGCAGTGCAAAACACTCACTGGTCCATCTGGCCAGTGATTGAGTGGTTTGCTTAGTTCACTGTCACCCTTCCAAATGTTGTTGACACATTTATTCACAGTTATTCACAACTAAACAATATTATTGTAGTGCAAGCCTAGAATCTGCAATTTCCTATTTTCATAGCCTAATAAATTTGGAACTGAAAGCATAAATCAAAACATTAATTTAAGTTAAATACAAAATATTTGATGAAAATTAAGTGCCTTTTGCCATATGCAGGCATCTACGCATAGAACCGTTCTATATTCTGAACAAAAGTGTGTGAGAAATTTAAATTAAACCCAACATTATTTATATTGCACAACCACAGCTAAAGAATTACGTTTTTTTCTATAGCAGAAAAACCCAGTGACAATGCCTACTTCACTCATGAGATGCACTTAATGAACCTTTCTTTCTAATGTAATTCTTTCAGCCACCCACCTGGGTTCACAGAAATTACTTCTCATACCTAGAATCCCTTCTGAATCTTCTCCAGAAGATTGCTGGAGTAAACTTTGGGAGCAAAGTATGTGGAACTATGAAATTAATGGATTTTCTTTCTAAATAAAGTTATTTAGGATTGTAACAGCAGTTTCTGCAGCATTACCAGTAACGTAAGGGGGAAAACATTTTCGTACTTGGATAGACTAAATATTTCTCCCCTCTGCATGAAACTAAAACGCACTATAAGGTTATCACATATATGAATACACTTGGAACAGAAGGTTTAAACTATAACAAATTAAATATGTAGCTACAGTAAAAATAGAAGGATGTACAAACCATGTCACTCTCACCAAGCATCATTTGATTCCTCCAGCTGTCAACACCTATTATGTCAATGCTGGAAATACCCTGTAGATCCCATTATTTAACAGTTGTACCTCAGTTAAAGACTCTCTACATAGTAAAGTATGCATGCGTATACTACACTATTATTTGTCAAGTACAGAAGAAAAACCTAAGCATATTCTTAAGTATGTCTAGAAGAGACTACTGCAGTATAAACTAGGTCCCTATTGAGTTCTGCCTCGTACTTAGGTATTAAAGTAGTCTGAGTGGCAACCTGTAAATCCAGAACTCTTAAGCAATCATTCACTATTTTTCAAGCACAGACTGCATTGGATGGCCAATAGACTATATTTTAAAGAGGAAATCCACACCTCTCTCCTTAATTTCTATTCATGCTTATTCCCAATGGTTGTAATTTTAAAAATATTTTTTTCTATACATAATTTCAAAACTTAGCATCTTCCTACTGGATCTATAAAAATGGCCTTTATGTTCTTTTGTGATTCTTATTCCAATAACAAAGTGCTATGTAAAAACAAATAATAGAAAAGCCCCTGTAATCTTCCATGAGAAAAACCATTCTAAATTAGACTTCAAAACAAATTATCAGTAAAGGAGAATATTCAAAACATTATAAAAGTTCATACAATGCATCCTAATTTTTGAAGGGTGTTATCCTATGCATATTCAGAGGTGACAGACTCACATTTGAAAGGGCTGAGTAATACAGTAAATAAAACTGTTACAAGGAAAATCACAAGATTAAATACCGAATGTGTAATTATTGCTAAGTCTAGCCTGCATTTTCCATTACCAATATTTTGATGTACTGCTATTCACAATTTTTAGATTTCCAAAACAAAAGGAAGATCTTATATAAAACATCACACCAGCTTATTATTGTTGTAACACTAAAAGCTATAACTTGAATGCACTCAGACCTGTAGCAGGCTGTTGCTGCTGTGTAAGTGTTGCAGCCATGGCAATGGCCGCTGCGTTTGGTATGTTGCTGAAAGGAGTAGGTCCAGTTGTAATTCGTGGGGCAGTCTGCCATTTCTTTGCTTCTACTCGCCTTGCCTCAAACACATCCACAGCATCTCCTAAAAAGGTTTTTCTGTATCCAAGATACTGGTCTTTGAGCATCTGAACAAAAACAAGAAAACTATTTTACACTGCATCCACCTTACAGAATTTTCCTATTTTGAAAAAAAAACTACTATTCCTCTAATTAAAGTGTTATATTTTATTAAAATTATATGGTACCATAATGTAAGATTTCTGTTACTAATAATTTCGAATTACACTCTTTTTAAAAGCAGGAACTATCATTATGTAATCATTTTTGGACACTAGGGCCACAATAAGTGTGGCAATGCTATGTCCTTGGGATAGAGTTTTCATTTGTGTATATTTTCAATAAAATTGTGATAAGGATATCAGAGGTTTTAATGCACATATTGCATTGGTTATTTTACTTCCATGTTGCAGAAAATCATACTCGCTTTACTCAAGACTTGTTCCCAAATTTTGCAACCTGTTACAGGGGCTATTATTGCTAATGCAACCCCTAAGTTCGATAATTAGTTTAAAACAGTAATATGGTATGTTTTTTCATAACCTTTAGTTCGTTCAATGTTCAAGTCCTTTTAAAAAAGCTCAGATTTTCTTTTCTCGTGTTATTTGTTAATTAGGATACTTTTTTGAACTTCTTTTCCAGATTCATTTCCAATATTGTCTTAAGGCATGCATTATGCATTGAGTTACTATTTACCATTTTGGGGACAAAATTTACCCTGTTTAGATTTTCTGTGATCTATAATGGCATTTATTTGATGGTTTCTTATTTTAGTTTGTGGTTTTAGTTGTACTATATTTTCTTCCATTTTTTAAAATTGCTGTTGTTATGTTCACTGAGAATACTTCAATCAGCACAGGGGCCAAGCATGTGGTTGCATATTGATAAAATATGAAGAATTACCAAAAATAGAACTAGATCTGATTCAGTCTTATCCTAATTGAATGTATAGCTATTCCAATATTATTTGTTAGGTCATAATGAGGACTAGTTGCACACAATTGCTCTGCTTTAAGGATGACTTTACTCAATTTTTCATATAGTCTGATTAAAACAATGAATCAATTTTCATCAGATCAATTTCAAGAACTTGTTATACATTAGCAGGCAGATAGAGAACATCTGACCACTGTTCTCTATGGAAGCTTTATTAATTTGTCTACTCCTAACCCTTACCACATTCACACAGGAACCATGAAAAGGTTACTAAATTTCATATACTCTTCATTTAAAACACCTCAAAAAATTTATCAGTTCCCTATTCCTTGTTAAAAGAAAAAGAAGGAGATGTATTATTATACACTCAGTGAGCACCCAAGATGATAGTATCATTTTCTTCTTCCAAACAAATAAAAAACACAACTGAAAAAGCTAAAATGGGAGTCATTCAGGAATACAAGATATTCATAGCTATACATGTTATACAATATATGAATACAACTGGAAATAGATTTTACCTTGACATTTTCATGTATTGATTGAAGCTGTGCAGCTAGAGCTACAAATGTTTGATAAATTTTCTGCATAGCCATGGATAAATCTGTGATATGAGAAATTGACAAATAAAGTCTTGTTGCAATATAAAATCATAATTCTTATTGCTGTCAACGGAACACACTTTTCATCAATTGTCATGAAATGTATAATCATAGATTTACAGTGATGAAATGGAATACAAGGATAATTTAGTCCCACCAGACTTCACAATGAGGTAGCCTCTTCTTAAAAACGTCCAGAGAAAGCAAATCCATAACCTCCATGGGTAGGCTGCTCTACTGTTACAGAATTTTTTCTTATATAAATTAAATATAGATCAGTGGTCCCCAATAAAGATCAGTGGCCGGCGGGGGGGGGGGGGGGAATGGTTCTTTGTGACTGGCAGGTGCACACAGCTCCATTTGTGTGGAGTGCATGCATGCTTGCCTGCTGCTTGTGCTTGTGGGCCAGGATCTGGGGGGTTGGGGACCCCTGATGTAGATAACCAAAGCTTATTTTATATATCTGGTCCTAGTTTCTGGGGCCGTGGAAAATGGTTCATGACCATCTTCCCCTTATTTCTCTGGATGTATCTGAAAATGGCTATTATGCTTCTTCAAACTGAACTTTACAACTCCTTTTTTTTTTTTTTTTTTTTGGTCCACAAGTCCCTATATCATTTTTGTTGCACTCTTCTGAATCCTCTCCAACCTAACAATATTATTCTGGAAATAGAATACCCAGAACTGTACACAGCACTCTGCATGTAACCTCATTACTGCTGAGTAGAAAGGGATGATGTTTTCACAGGTTTTAATGCAATACTTCTATTAATGCAGGCCAAAACTGTTTTAGCTCTTCTAGCACTGTTGACTCAGGTTTGGCTTAGTTTGCCATCAATGACTTCACACAAATTGTTCCCAAATATAATCACACTTAAGTTATCCTTGGTGTTTGCCAGACCTTAATTTCACCTGATCCTCAAATCTGATAAGCAGCCTATCAATCCCATCAATCCAGGCCATTTCTAAAATTGTTGACTATTTCCTATGGAAGCTCATTCATTACTGCTCTCCAACTTAACGTATAGTAATTAATGCTTTCTGAGTATAGTTACCAGCCAGCGGTGGACCCACATTATGTCATCCAAACCATATTTTAACAGCTTGTCATTCATAATGTCCTGTGGAACCTCCTCAAAATCAAATCTTTCCTTTTAGGATATATATAGGATTACTAAATTATGGAGGAGGGAGAGAGGAATAGCAATAGGACTTAGATTTATATGCCACTTCACAGTGCTTTACAGCCCTCTCTAAGCAGTTTACAAAGTCAACATATTGCTCCCAATAATCTGGGTCATTTTACTGAGCTCAGAAGGATGGAAGGCTAGTTTTTTGCACAGGAAAGATAAAACATTTAGAGACATTATTTCTCTAGGATTTTTTTTTTCTTATGTAATGTTTTGAGTGTGCTGAATATCTTAAGGTAAATGCTGAATTGTTGTGAGCAGACTTTAATTATGCCATGCTGGTTTGTTCATTTCTAAAGGTTTTCCTTAGTACTGTGCTTTGTTTTGGCTGATTTGGAAAATTTTTCTAAAATAATAAATGCTAGGGATTTATGGAAGAACATCTGTGTGAAAAGAAATAAATATAAAATAAAAATGAGAAGCTTTTTTATAACTCCTTAATTTATAGTCACAGGCAATATACTTATACTATTCTTATATTAAGCAACTATTTCATCCTTTAAAGGGCTTATGATGATAAATACTCCCATAATTTAGCAACAAGCGAATCATAGTAATGCCAAATTAGCAGTCTTATAAAGTATTTATCTGCATAGAGATTGCTGTTTGCTTACCACATACTAAGGGTACTGCATAATGTAATTAACAAAGATATTAAAACATGTATTTGTACCTTGTGGCGTTATGTGTGAATTGTTGGCTTGGGTAGCAAGATGATTTTCCAGTTCTTCAATCTGCTGTCTGTACTGCTGCAGTTGTACTTCAAACTGCTCAATCAAAATCCTGAAGTAGCTAGATCAAGTATATTTCAAAATAGTGATGGATGGGATTAAGTATCACTCTAAAGAAAAATGTAATTATTTTGAAGATCAAGACTACAATTATTAAGTTTGATTTTCCTCATATTTTTTATTTGTAACATATCAAATAAAATAACGCATCCAACAAATCACTGGTTTGTGATTTGTCTTATATAAGTCACTATTAGCACTTAGAGAAAAACATGATGAAAACATTAAAAAAAAACAACAGTTGTAATCACTTCCAAGCATTAGATGTGGTTATTCCTAATGCATAAATTCCTGCTAAGAATCTATGGAAACACTCAAACCAAAGGCAGTGTATTTTTTGCACGATGAACTATTAAGGAAATTGGCTCTCTGATGCAAAAACAGTGTTTTTGGCACATCTCTATTAAGAACACACTTTTTAATTTTCTACTTACTCTGCTGGTGCTGTATTTTCATGCTGAAGACCAGGAGGTGTTTTTTGTGTCCTTAGTGCTATCTCAGCATTTTTAAGTTCCTGCAGAAGGAGGAAATGGAAAATCAAAAGTTGAAAGTCCAAAGAGTAAAAATTTTAAGTAAATGTTTTAGTGAACTATTTTTCCTGATAATTAGTCAATATTCAACAGTAAATTTTTGCATTATTGAAATCATTGAGGTCAATGGAAAGACAGCCAGGTAAAAGCCAAGTTACTATTTGCACAATTAGTAAGTAGATCTCCAGGTACCAACTATATTGTATCATCTTCCTAAAAGGAGCTTAACAAAAACATACTCATTATAACAACCTCAAACTATAAATGTAGAATTAAATCACTAGAAAAGATTAAATCACAAATATTGCTTTTCCATCCCCAAGTTTTTACAGCATTATTTTGCTGTGGCCATTTCGCTCCCCTGTATCTATTTACCCCAATCACTGCAAAGTTCTGAACGAGAAGGTCAATTTATTATTATGTGCTACCAATAAGCAGCTGCAAAGACAGACTTTCCACAAGGATCACTCCCTGACCACATCCTAATAGTTCAGACACTGCTGCTATAATCGAATGCATTTCACTGCTTGTTGTCATCTTCCATTTGGTAGCTGGCAGTTTTCGTGGACTTCTCAAGGAAGATCGATCTTTGCACAGTATTTCCAAAATGTGATCATCTGAGCCTGGCCATTTGTTTCTCAAGTGAGATCTCTGAATCAATTCTCAGCTTTTCATGGAATTCCTAAGAGCCTTCGTCAACGATGTTCAAAAGCATCATCACTCTTTCTATTTGGTTTCTTACAATTCCAACTTTCACTATCTATTGGAAAATGATTGCCCGCTTGATTCTAACTTTGTAAATATAGCGTATCATGGCATATATCTTTTCTAAAGCATTGTTGCTATCCCATTTGTCTTGATGCTGATTCCTTTATTGTTGACAGTTGATTCTAAAAGGCAGAAGCTACCTACCACTTCAAGACTGTCACTGCCAATTCTAAGACAAACTCCAGTATCTGTCATTAGTATTGGCTTCTTTATATTTAACCATAGACTCATTATAAAGACCAAATTAATAACTGGTAGAGAAACCAAACTTAAAACTGACTGCAAATATGAAGACAATGAAAAGAGTAAACAGATATACAAATACCATGAATATACTGATCATGCTAAACTTCATATGCCAACATAATTCCACTCACATATTGGGAAAAGGTTAGAAATACAGAAGTCTACAGATGAGTTCAAGGAGTAAAAAGATTAAAACTGCCAGCTACCAAATGATCAGTTTCCCAGGAATGACATTCTAAAAATTAGAACACAGTTGTGAGATAGACAAATGTTTCAACAGAATAAACACAAACCAGAACTATTTTCCCAAAAAAATAGGCACAGTTAATTTTATTAAAATTAAAATTAGAATAAATTAACTTCTTTGGAACTATACCTGAGCAGTCTCCAGTTTTAGTTTATCAATATTAAGAGTATTTCTCTGTAATCCACTTGCAGCCACTGATAATAATTGCTTCAAAGCTTTTATATCCTCTTGCACTTTAAGCATCGCTTTAGAAGACATTCGGCTGATTTCTTCCTGAACCTGTTTTTGTTCTTTCACAAACTTCCTAGGTAAAAAAAGAAGGGGGAAATCAGAAAAAGGAACCCCCCTGCCAAAATAACCATCCAAAATGAGTGGTGAAGAATAGAAGTAGCAAATGACAGCAGCAGCTCAATGGCATATGAGAAAATGTATACAGACTCTTTATAGTTTATCATTCAATATTTTAAAAATGCAAACACAACTAGTTATCAAACTGAATTTTAAAGGAATTCAGTATTTTAAAAACATATACAGCTATGAAGAATTGCAAGGATAGAGAAATTACTTACTGGAGATTTTCTACATCTTGGCAAATTACTGGAGGTAAATTTTCATCTTTTAGTGCTTTGCTATCCCTGTCAACAGATGTGTTCTATTATCAGCAAGAATTTTTTATATCACATTGTAGAAATAAAAGACGTTCATCTGAGTTTTTTTATCTTTTCTGTTAAGTTTGAGGATTATTTCATTCAATTTTTTAGTGTATCTTGGCATTTTACTTATATTTTGTATTTTTCTTAAAGATTTTTAAAAAGTAAAACAATCTAGAGATGAAGAACTTCATTATTCAGCTTTCAATTCCATATAAATCACATACACTGAATATCCTAATCTTAAGTAGGGAAAATCAGGCATATGCTACTTCACATTTCTTTCAGCTCAGCCAACACAGATAAGCTGTTCATAGTTAAATGTCAAAAATGAACAAAGCATTCCAAGCTATATCATCCCGCTTGAAATAGTGTCAGATGTTTTATGACCAACTTCACTATTTTAGCCTTTCCATTTAAATTAAATTAACCTAGACCAGGGGTAGGCATGACTGGCTCAGGAATTCTGGGAGTTGAAGTCCATGAGTTATAAAGGAGCCAAGGTTGCCTACCCCTGACCCAGACTATTAAGTATATAATTATGTTTATAGACATGCAAGTCAGTTACTTTTGTAATTATAATATTTGATTTACTTACTCTGGTCTTGTTCCTGTTTTGTCACCTAGTAACAAACATTACAAGTTAGAAAGCCCTTCTTAGGTTTATGACATTATCAAATACAGGAGTCGTCAAACTTGGCCCTTTTATGACTTGTGGACCAACTCCCAGAATTCCTCAGCCAGGCATGCTGGCTGAGGAATTCTGGGAGTTGAAGTCCACAAGTCATAAAAGGGCCAAGTTTGAAGACCCCCGATCAAATAGAATTTTACCAACAATATCTAATGTATACTTTTTAAAAGGATATATTATAAACGGACATTCAGGGAAGAAATGGTAAACTGAAGACAGCTCCGCTAAAAGCGGACCTGATGACTATGGCAGAATGAAGAGTCAGCAAATACACCGGCTCTTTGTAAATTACTCTTTGGACAAGGGGAGAATTTTGAGATTGTTCACAAATGTTTCATACAGTTGCTCCTTGTGAGGAGATCACAAAACAGCAGTCTCTAGAAAAGTTTTTTTATTTTTCTATTTTTTCTTTTCTCCCCTATTTTTTATTCTTTTTAGTTTATATATTTTTTGACTTTATAACTGTAATTTTTAATAAAAACACTGTAAAAAATAAAAAGGATACCAACATAATCATTAGTTTAATGAAACGTTTAAACAATTCTCAGGTCACTTTCTATAAAACTTCTTAGAACAAACAGAGGAGAAACATTCTATTAGCACCAAAGTAACTTATTCAGGGAATGTACATTCTAGAACAGCTTTAATAATTTAAAAAAGTCTATTTGAAATGTGTGTGGCAATATTTTATGCCATACAGCCCAAAACACCTCAATAGCAAAGATACTAGTCCTATCCAGGGTGCCTCAGAAAAAAAGCAGTCTTCAGAATTTTGAACGAATCCCTCTAAATTTATCTGAAAATTAACTCGATTGCTGTTTAGGTGATAACATGACATTGAAAAATATTCAGGAGCATTTTCTAGTTGGACTTAAACCACTCTCTCTTAGCTAATACTACAGGAATAATGCTAACTATTTCACATAGTTGTTTAGGAAGATTAAATTAAAGATTAAAATAATGAAATAAAACCATCCCACCCAAGTGAAATCCTTATAAAACTGTAACTTAAGTTGGAGAATACATTAGCAGAAAAATTCTTCCACCAATTAATATTTTCTAATCTGAAAATTATGAATACAATTTATGAAATAAATCTCTCAATTCAGCAACTAGGAAATTAGTTTAAAATGTACTTAAGTTCAATATAGAAAATAAATCTGGAAATATATTTCCTTTTTGTTCTAAAAGCCACAAATTATATGTCAGTAAAAACATTATTATTTAATTTCAACTGATCCAAGTACATTTATGTATATTAGTTAATTTGCATTATCGTATTCTGTTTATTAATGTATGCACTAAGATGCAGACTTCATTTTCAATTACTTTGAAATACTTGGTTCACTTTTTAAAAACTAATATCCATTGGATACCATCTATTAGTTACAGGGAATCCTTGGATTATGATGGCAATTGGCTCTAAAATTTCTGCCACTAATTCCAAAATATTCCTGATTTGTAGGTTCAAATAACTACAAAATTGTATTTTTAAAAAACATACTCTTTTTATCTGAAGAACTATTGAAATCTATGCCACCAAGACCTTCATTAACTGTGGTAGCAGGTGCTGCAGCTGTCCCAAGGGTCAAACCAAAAGCATTTTGTCCAAGCCCTGAAAATAATACAAACATTTTGAGGTAAGAACAGATTCAGGATTTTGTAAAGTAAGATGTATCATCCATGAAGACTGAAAGAATTTTCATCTAACGTCATTAGCAGTAACTGTGAAACTATAAGCTGATGGGTAAAACAGGAATCTCTAATTAGAATTTGTTCTTACCAGCAAGCCTGCTTTTCCAACATCAACAATAACACAAAGGTTTTCTGAAGACACCAATGTTCAAAGATTGTATACAGTAGGATACAGAACTGAAATAACTTTCAAATCAAAGCTGAATCTTGTTCATATTGTGTTGAGCTTAAAATTATTTGCAATTTCAAAAAGGAATACAATAAGCTGAAGCTGTAACTACAAATTCAAATATTGCTTTTAAATCAGATTAATTACTACTTGTTTCAGTTTAAAGGATTAGAAGGATTGATAATCCTTTAAATTATGAAATTAAATCTATGATTAAGATCCACAATCTGAACATTTTAAATAATAAATATGAGCAATATCACCTGTTGTCGCTGTACTTGCATTTGGGAACAGTGTTCCTCCTAAACCAGTCAAGGCTCCCCCCAGAGAAAGTCCTGTAGATACAGTTGTGGTTGGAGCTGTGGTGCCTCCCAAATTTAATGTAAAACCAGAAGAGCCTGAATTTTAAGTAGAAAATGCAATTCAGATCCTGAACTTTTAAGAAAATGATACATCTTGATTTTTTTTATCCCAACAACTATCTCAGTGCATGCTATTTTAATGCAGTTATAAAGATTACAGACATAACATCCATTTTAGTGTTCATTATTTAAACCAAAAAGTTATACATTTGTTGAAACTTGAGGACTCCTTGAGGAATGTTCTAGAACCCTTTCATTTGCTGAAGTCATCCATTGGTAAATTTTTATCAATTCCTTCATGATGTTCAAAATTCCAAATGCAAGAGTTCCAAGAAATCCACAAAAATTTTAGAAAGGTACTTGGACTCACTACTCAATCTGGGTCACTATTGAAATCAAGTTCTTTCAAATGAGTCGTTTTTTAATCTTTTTAAGTATATACAAAGAACTTAAAAGTCGTTTTAGACATAGACTTGACATTATTGAGACCAATATTCTCTCAGCATAGCAAGTGGATTCAAATCCTGTAGCCTTGGTTTTTTTATTACTTAAAAGTATTGAGTTGTTGTGTGACCCCAAAGTAATTTTTGGTGAGATGGGTGGTTATACAAATTTAACAAGCAAGGCAGAGTTTTCTGTGACTGTCAGAAAGTCAGAAGCTTGTTTTAGCTTAGCTACAGTTATTAACACTGTAAAGAGACACTGAGATATTTAATCAGCCTCAACTGATACTGAAAAGATAAAGTGTCAGACAAGATTAGCACCTGAATGGAATTCAACCAAGAAATCTCAGGACTTTAGGTTAAACTGGATAGTTAAAAATATCTCAGAAAGTGGCAATGGCAAAACATTTTTGCTCTGTTGCCAAGAAAATGACATAGATGTGTAATGAAGTTTTCAGGAGTTGAGCTCAACTCAAAGATAACTTTATTACATTCCTTCAGCAAATATTTCAGCTTAATAAGTTTTAGGATTCCTATCACCAAATTAGGCAGAATCCTTTAATAATGTGCCTAAAGAATAACTAGTTTTTGTAACAATTATAACTAGAAAATTTAGGCAGTAAGAGAATGAGAAGAAAACTTGAAGACAGAACTATTGCAAGCTTACCTGCTGCTGGAGCAGAAGTAAGGGCAGAAGATAATGGAAGTCCAGAAGAAGTGGGAGTGAAAGCTAGAGCAAATGGGGTGGCTGATCCAGCAGGTTTACTGAAACCCAAACTAAGGCCCGTAGTAGTAGTAGTAGTAGAAACAGGTGTGCCTATAAAAACAGTTTGTTTCATTTATTTATACAAATACACTCTTATGTGGTTTCTATTCTTAGGAAGTATACCCCCAACACACACATTTAATCTTCACAACAGCCATGCAAGGCACACTGTGATAGTCTCCCGGTTTCAGTCCAACACTGATTCCATCAGTATGGCTCTCAGCATCTACTCATGCTCCTTTATATTGAGGAAAAAATAAGTAAAGAAAATATATTTAACAATTACCATTTAAGAATTCCAATCACTATCATAAAGAGAAGCTAATCTGAAATTCAAATGGTTCAAAATAGTCTTTGCTTCACAAACAATAACCAGAACCAAATAAGGCCATAACATTTATAATTATACCCAATAAAACCATTACAAAGTTATCTAAATGTATGAATATACTTTTTCATCTAGCAATGTCCACTTTGCCATGTTTACCAATACTTTACAAGAAGAAATAGCTAAATTATACTTTTAAGCCTCACATCATTGAAGTCCAATGTTTTTCCTTTGGCATTTCCAGCTATCACTTCTCAGGTAGGGAAAAGGGAATGTTAATGATTATATAATACTTACCTAATGTTAATCCTGCCGCAATAGTTGTAGCTGTTCCTGTGTAGGAATACAAAATAAACAAATGTATGCCATTATTGAAGAATATGGAAAGGTACAAATTCAAAATCTTCAGCATAGAAGCAAGCTACTTCATACATCCAGGTATTCTGGACAATTCTCATAATCTCTAACAATTCTCATAATCTCTAACTGCTGGCCACACTGCCCAATAAGGATTGGAATTTGCCTCCAAAAGAGCCAGAAGGCAGCAGCTGCCTTCTAACAGTTACTTTGAAAAGGATAATGACCTATGTTGGGAACAAACATTCAAATTCAGATCGAACACTATTGTTTAATTGTATTATACAGTATGTTTAGCCTTTAAATATGTCTAATTTATATACACTAGTATAACCATATTATTCTGGTCAAACCCTTTCCATGCCTTGTAGCTATAACCTCACATCAAATTAACAATTCACAGGTCTCCTTGCCCCTGTGACTATGTAGGACAGATGGGGAGGAAGCAAACCACCAAGAACACAAGTGAGCAGTCAGACAAGGAGACCCGAACTCATTGGTAGCCTCACACTGCAATGAACAAGGACACACATTCAACTTTGTAGCTACTAAGATTGTTGGATGAGCAGGCACAAAAACAGCCAGGGAAGTGATTGAAGCCTAGGAAGCAGGCTTCAATCAACAGGAGTGCTGATTTACCACCAGCATATCAAGTACTTGGAAGGCAAGGATTGGGCACCACAAGCAAACAACAGCCAACAACTTAAAACCCAGACATCAAAACATTCCAATGAGCATCTAAAAAGCCACATACAACAGGTAACATATAAATACCACACACAGAATAACACACACTCTGCTAGAGAGAAGTTCTCTGAAGATGGGCTCCAGCATAAGTATGAAAGCTCAGAAGACAAAACCTTTGGTTCCGGTGACCAACCCAAATTGGATCCTGCAGCATTATCCTGGGACATATATATTTGCATTCATTTGCGAGAAATTATCATAACTGATTTCATGTTTTTATTTGCCCATTCTGCCATTAAGTCAGTTTGTTCTAATGGTTAAGTCATCAGGCTAGAAACTGAGACTATGAGTTCTAATTTGGCCTTAGTCATGAAACTCAGCTGGGTGACCTTGGGCCATTAATCTTTTTCAGCCCAAAGCACCTCACAAGGTGGTTGTTGTGAGGAAAATAAGAGGAATGAATGTTGGATAGGTCCACTGCCTTTGTAAAAACAAAGGTGGGATACATATAAATTAAAAAAAAGCCCCTTTTAATTTTTATTTATATAAAATTTATATAGTTGCCCATCTTATACTGATCTAAGGGTGGCTCCAATCAACAATTAAAACATCAGTAAAAACAGCACAATGCATGTCTATTAAAACCATGAACATTAAAAATCTAGTCTTAATATCAAACTTCAACATACAGTCCCTTGTTAAATCCTCTCATTCACCTCACCCTACCCCAGAGTGAAAAACCCAGTCCTTTTTGGAAGGCTAGGAGGGTAGAGGCCTGCCAAATTTCAAGTGGAAGGGTGTAATTAATTCAATTCAATAATTAATTCAAGCTAATCAATACACATTTTGATAGGAATAACTGAAATATGTTTTACCTGTATTAGTCCCTCCTAAGGTAAAACCTGTGGTAGGCTTTGAGCTAAAAAGTCCAGTGCCAAAACCCACAGAAGGAGTAGTTGTAGTAGCAGTAGCTGTTGAACCCAATGTTCCAAAGTTAAGGCCTCCAGATGAGCTAAATTATAAAGTAAAAAATTATTAAGCACATGTTCATTGTTCATTTTATTTCTTCACTGCTAATTTTACATAATAGCATGCTTTAATTTAAATGCAATTAACAAATATTTCATTTTCAACCAAGTGAGAGTTTGTAACAGCTAAAATCGTTTAACGTATTTAACATTAACAATATCAATGCTGCTATATTTGTATGTTATACTCAATTTGTTTAAACCATGATGTCCTGAACCCCAACTTTGTACAATGCAAATTAATGATTTGTTCAGCTAATTTATTCTACCGGTATCAAGAAAAAGGGACAGAGCACATAACCAAATAAAATTTCTGTGTTCAGATATAAGCCACAGTTAAAACAAACTACAGTCTCATACTGTTGAGAAATAGCTGTCCAAGAATAGGCTCATATATGATGCTGATCCATAAATCAAACATAGCGCTATGTGTGAATCCTGCCTTAATAGAAGTTTTTATTAACTTGCTGTTCCTTCTAATGCAGGCATGTCAAACTGCTGGCCCGTGGGCCGGATGCATCATGCTGAAACCGCGCCCACTCCATGGCCGGCAATGGGGAAAAAGTCAAGCTATGTCGCGAGTTTGACATGCCTGTTCCAATGTGTTTCAAGAGTTATGGAAGACTGTTATAGGTATATTCCCTATTTTGAGGGGGATAGGAAAATTTAATACTGCTTCCCAAACAAAATTTTTAATTTGGAGAAAGTCCTAAGGAATCATGTTTTTTTTCACTGCCTGTAAATCTTGATATTCCAAAGATCGGGTTAACTTTTGTCTACAAGCTAGCATTAATATTTACAGAATTAAGTTAAAACTGAACTTTCAACCTAAAATTCCAAAAAGAACCATTATTAAAATAACAAAAAGACTGCTAGATATCAATAATTTTCTCACATATCTATTCCACAAAAATATGCCAGCACAAGTTCTTCTCAGATGTTGCTGCTTTATTATAGCACATCCTTGTAATTACTGCTATTGCCCTGGTATACTGTTAATAAACACACACACACCAAAGTACAATGAATTATCTCATGTATTTCAACTGTAAAAAAATAAAATTAAGCTCACACTTTGATACATAATGATTGCAAAATCAAATTTTTATCAATTAACTGATAGAAGAGGTAGGCATCAGCAGATTTGACAAAAACTGCCAATATACAAAAATCTAAAGAGGCATAAAATCAGTCAAAATGCTCCAAATATGACAGAGCATACTCGGCATGAAATGCTAGCTGACTGTGGAGAATGTGGTACTGAAAGGGGACATGGAAAGTATGCCCAATTTGCCTAATTTGATACCTTCCAGAATTCTGAAACAACTCACGTCACCTCCAATCATTGATAAACTTCAGGGCAAGTGAATTAGGGAAGATTGCAATCAAGCACTTAATGCTGTGTATGGAAACAAATTTTAAATGGGTCACATCCCCTCCCCATAAACGTATACATCAGGGGTCTTCAAACTTGGCCCTTTTATGACTTGTGGACTTCAACTCCCAGAATTCCTCAGCCAGCATGCCTGGCTGAGGAATTCTGGGAGTTGAAGTCCACAAGTCATAAAAAGGCCAAGTTTGAAAACCCCTGGTATACATGTATAACATGTTATAAAATAGATACCTATTACAGCTGCCCTATAACTTGAACATAAAGAAAATGAGTGAGAAGGATGTTTACTATCCAATTTCAACCAACTGCAGGAATGGGTGATGAAACTTGTAAAAATGTTTTAGTCTTTTCAAAATTTAGAATGAGAAAAAAACTTGTGCATATGTCCCCATAAAGAGTAAAACTCTGTAATGCTTGTTTTCTGCTTAAAGCGACATGAAATTCCCAATCAATCAGCAACTATGTAAACTCTCTTGGAAAAGCCATATAACCAGGCCATATATCTACTTCATCTTAGGTTATTTTTTAATTTTTGATAGGCTTCTACTGTTTTCATTTTAAATATTTAGCCGTCTAGAGTCACTTATATGAGTTGGCAGTCATATACATTTATTTAAAGTCAAGGACTCTCAGTACTCTGAAATTATACGAAATATTGGCCAGGGCTCTTTTGGGGCCTTGTTCGACGCTCTCTCCAGCTTGGAAAGGCTGCGATTCCTGTTGCTAACGCTTTTGTTACCAATTTCTAGTTAGGACTCTCCTTTTTTAGAGACGCCAGGGAGGTAGAGCAGCTTTCCCCATCTTTTGGGACAACCCCACGGCCTTCAACCGTCGTAAAATAAGGAAAAATCAGGTACACGTGCAGCGCCAAGTGCCCTGAGGAAAGCCTCCGGGACGGCCCTTTAACTTACCTCGGGGTGCCTCCAAAAGAAAAACCTCCGCCGCCGCCTCCCCCGCCGGTGCCCGCAGCAGCTGCCGTAGCGGAAGCCAACGTGCCGGCTCCGAAGGAGAAGCCCGCCGACATAATGGCGGCGGCAGCGGCGGAAAGACCTCACCCGCAGGGTCTTGCGGTTTAGCGGGAGGCGCTTGGCCGAAGGAGCAGGCCCGGAGGGCTCTCCCCACAGCCGGGGCTTCAGCCCCCGCGCGGCAGGGATGCCGGCAGCCCTGCTAGCCCCGCGCGGCAACTTCAAAGAGAACGCTCGGGTTGCGCGAGAAGCGCAGTCAAACGCGCGCGGATAAACGACGGCGCACAACACGCCGCTGCGCATGCGCGCACTGAGACTGCTGGTCGGCAGTCCCCTCCCCTTCCGCATAAATTAGCGCGATAGGAATTGAATTGAATTGAGTAGTTTATTTAGGCAAGTGTGATCGGGCACACGAGGAATTTGTCTCCGGTATAAAAGCTCTCGGTGTACATGGAAAGCGGCAGAATAATAAAGGGAGAGTAAAGAAGATAACAAGGTGGATAATGAGACTGAACAGATCGATTCCTATAGTACAGGTAGTCCTCCACTTAAAAGTTCATTTAATCATCGGTCAAAGTTACAGTGGCACTGAAAAAAATAACTTATAACCGTTTTTCACACTTGCGACCTTTGTAGCATCCCCATGATAATGTGATCAAAATTCAGATATTTGGCAACTGGTTCATACTTAAGACCATTGCAGTGTCCTGGGGACGTGTCACCTTTTGCAACCTTTTAACAAGCAAATCAATGGGGAAACCAGATTCACTTAACAATCGTGTTACATATCAGCTGCAGTGATTCATTTAACAATTGTGGCAAGAAAGTCCTAAAATGGGGCAAAATTCATTTAAATGTCTCAGTAGCAAAAATTTGGGGCTCAGTTGTCATAAGTTGAGGATTACCTGTACAGTGTTTTAATTTGGAAAACCTCATGGGGAGCAATTTTGCTCCTTCCTCATGGAAGGAGAAGCTTCCTGTGCAAACAACTTTTATTTTGATCAAAACAGAGTTGGGTGACCCCATCTCTCTTCATGGCTGGTAGAGAGATGAAGGCAACAACAGAAAAGATGTCTTCCATCTTTTATACCTTTTCAGAACAAAGAGATCAGGTCTTGGTATCAGGCATAAGATGGCACAAAAAAACCAATTCCTAGATGTTGACTCATACACAGCAACCCAGGCTCCATCTGTAACTCCTTTTCCCCCTCCCCTTACTGTGCTCTTTTCATATAAGCAATCACCTATACCTAAAGCATGAAGCCCTTACTTTCATATATATATATATATATATATATATATATATATATATATATATATATATATATATATATATATGTGTCTTTGGTTGTTCGGGTTTTCTCCCGCGTAAAATTGGAAGTGTCTTGGCGACGTTTCGACGAAGTCACATTCGTCATCTTCAGGCTGGTGTTTTTAGCTTCTTGCTTTGAGCAGCAATGTGTGGTTTTAGCTGTTTCTTCCTTTTAACTGCCAGTGAGGGTATGAACTGATTGGATGGGAGCTTGGCTGTGTTCTGATTGGGTGGAGGTGTGTTCTGAATGGTTAGGGGCTTGGCTGTGCTCTGATTGGCTGGGGGAGTGTTCTGTTTGGTTGTGCTCAGGTTAGTCTGAGTTGCAGAGGGGTTTAAGATTTTGGGGTTAGGGAGTCGTTTGTCAATAAGGGCGGGTTTCCAAATGGCTGGTAGGCGGGAGGTATCATCTCGCTTGTTCATGCTGTGTGGGCGTTTTTCTATCTCGATGGCTTCTCTGATTATTCTGTTATTAAAATGTTCACTTTTGGCAATGGTTCTGGTATTTTTAAAGTCAATTTCATGTCCTGTGGCTTTAAGGTGTTGGACCAGGGAAGATGTTGGTTCCTCTTTTTTGACTGAGTTCTTATGTTCTTCAATGCGTGCACTTATTCTTCTGTTGGTTTGTCCGATGTATGTGGTGGGACAAGTGGTGCATGGGATTTCGTATACTCCTTGATTTTCTAATTCAATTTTATCTTTGGGGTTTCTAAGGATGGTGGATATTTTTCTGTTTGTGCAGAATGCTGTTTTGATGTTGTGTTTATGGAGGATCTTACTGATTCTGTCTGTGGTGCCTTTTATGTATGGGAGGAGGGCTTTGCCGTTTTCTTGTTCTTTGTCTTGGATTTTAGTGGGGGTTTCTTTTTGGATTAGGTTTGTAATCTTATTTCTTTGGAATCCATTGGATGTTAGTACATTGGTGAGAGTGTGTAGTTCGGTTTTTAGGTGTTGTTCGTCAGCTAAGCGTTTTGTTCTGGAGATGAGTGTCTTGGCTACAGAGTTGATCTGTGCTGGGTGGTGGTGTGAGAGAGCGTGCAGATAGCGGTTTGTGTGTGTTTTCTTCTGGTAGATGGTGTGTCCTAGGGAGCCATTGGATTTCTTGTAGACTAAGACATCCAGGAAGGGAAGTTGGTTGTTAGCTTCTGTTTCCATGGTGAACTGTATTTTGGGGTGTAGGCTGTTGAGGTGTGTGAGGAAGTTGTCCAGTTTTTCTTTCCCATGTGGCCAGATTATGAAGGTGTCGTCTACGTATCTGAGCCAGAGTTTGGGTTTGTGATCCGATTTTTCTAGAGCTTGGGTTTCAAAGTGTTCCATGTAGAGGTTGCAATGACAGGTGAGAGGGGTGATCCCATGGGTGCTCCTTCTGTTTGTTTGTATTTTTGTCCATTATAGATGAAGTATGTGTTGGATAGGCAGTGGTTGGTCAGATCTAAGATGTGTTTGGGGGGGTTATATTTGTTTTGGATAGCTGTCAAGGCTTCTTTGATAGGCACTTGGGTGAAGAGGGATATGACATCAAAGCTCACAAGTAGGTCGCTGGGCTGTAAGTTTTGTTTCTTTATGATCTCTATAAAGTGGAATGAGTTTTTTACGTGTGAGGTGATGGATTCTGCATAGGGCTGTAGTTGTTTGGCGAGAAATTTGGCTAGGTTTTGTAGAGGTGAGCCTATGGAGCTGACTATAGGTCTGAGTGGGGTTCCTTCCTTGTGTATCTTGGGGAGACCATAGAGTTTGGGGCATCTGGATGATTTCTCTCTGGGAATGATTCTTTGCTGGATCTCTTCGCTAATGGGGGAGGCTTTTATTTTGGATCTGGTGGTTTTTTCCAGGTAGGTGGTGGGATCTGTATTTAGGGGTTTGTATGTGGAGTCTTGGAGTAGGTTGGTTAATTTGGTTTGGTAGTCAGATGTGTTCATAACCACCGTGGCGTTGCCCTTGTCTGCTGGTAGGATTATTATGCTGGTGTCTTCTTTCAGGTTACGTAGTGCTGTCTGTTCCTCTTTGGGTAAGTTGCTTTTGGGTGGCTTGCTGGTACAGAGGATGTTGGTGATTTCGAGTCTGATTCTGTTAGCATCGTCGGGGTTGATTTTGGTCAGGCTGGTTTCAACTCCACATATAATGGTTTCAGTGGGGATGTGTTTGGGAGTGACTGCAAAGTTGAATCCTTTGGAAAGGACATTGGTTTCGGCTTTGGTGAGGATCCTATCTGAGATGTTATGCACTGTTTGTTTCATGTGTGGCTGTGAGGGAGGAGGGGTTTGTTTCTGGCGTTCTTGTAGTCTTCGGAGTTTGTTGGTGTGTGTATCTGTCTTGAGGGTGGTCTGTGTTTCGGCTCTCCAGACGGCGAGTTGTTTGGATTTGTCCCAAAGTGCGGGGTGGATCTTGTTGCTGAGTTTGAGGTGGAGTGTGAGGAGATCTTTGTTAATTCGGTCTAGGAGGAATCTTTTTGTGTGAAGTTCATTTCTGATTAGGGCCAATTCTGTTCTTTTCAGGATCCGTTTGGTGGCTGCAGAGTTGGAGTGGAATTTCAGTTGGAAACATGTGGGGATTAGATTTTGATCTCGGCAGTTGCGTAGGAATGTGAGGTCGCATAAAATGGAAGCTCTTGGACTTCAAGTTTTTCATAGGTCCTGGTCAGATGGTGGATTTCCTCCCCGTAGAGGTTCAATATTTGTTTTCTGAGGTTTTCACGGGTGTTTGTATGTAGGTCTTTGGTTGTTCGGGTTTTCTCCCGCGTAAAATTGGAAGTGTCTTGGCGACGTTTCGACGAAGTCCCATTCGTCATCTTCAGGCTGGTGTTTTCAGCTTCGTGCTTTGAGCAGCAATGTGTGGTCTTAGCTGTTTCTTCCTTTTAACTGCCAGTGGGGGTATGAACTGATTGGGTGGGAGCTTGGCTGTGTTCTGATTGGGTGGAGGTGTGTTCTGATTGGTTAGGGGCTTGGCTGTGCTCTGATTGGCTGGGGGGTTGGCTGTGCTCTGATTGGCTGGGGGTTGGCTGTGCTCTGATTGGCTGGGGGAGTGTTCTGTTTGGTTGTGCTCAGGTTAGTCTGAGTTGCAGAGGGGTTTAAGATTTTGGGCTGCCTTGCTATTTTTTGGCTTCGCGTTGTGGTCGTGCCTCATTTTCATGGAGGGTGTCAGTTTGCTTCGTGTATGGATTGGAGGGCTTTAAAGTGGCTAATGATGCAGCTCTGGTCTGGCTTCTGGTTTGTGGTCGTGCCTCATCATCGGTGTGGCTTTGGGTTTGCTTTTTGCGTGGATGTGTGGTGGTGACATCCTGTGTGGTTTTTGTGAGTGTGGGTCTGGTATCATTTTTTGTGTTAGGGAGTCGTTTGTCAATAAGGGCGGGTTTCCAAATGGCTGGTAGGCGGGAGGTATCATCTCGCTTGTTCATGCTGTGTGGGCGTTTTTCTATCTCGATGGCTTCTCTGATTATTCTGTTATTAAAATGTTCACTTTTGGCAATGGTTCTGGTATTTTTAAAGTCAATTTCATGTCCTGTGGCTTTAAGGTGTTGGACCAGGGAAGATGTTGGTTCCTCTTTTTTGACTGAGTTCTTATGTTCTTCAATGCGTGCACTTATTCTTCTGTTGGTTTGTCCGATGTATGTGGTGGGACAAGTGGTGCATGGGATTTCGTATACTCCTTGATTTTCTAATTCAATTTTATCTTTGGGGTTTCTAAGGATGGTGGATATTTTTCTGTTTGTGCAGAATGCTGTTTTGATGTTGTGTTTATGGAGGATCTTACTGATTCTGTCTGTGGTGCCTTTTATGTATGGGAGGAGGGCTTTGCCGTTTTCTTGTTCTTTGTCTTGGATTTTAGTGGGGGTTTCTTTTTGGATTAGGTTTGTAATCTTATTTCTATGGAATCCATTGGATGTTAGTACATTGGTGAGAGTGTGTAGTTCGGGTTTTAGGTGTTGTTCGTCAGCTAAGCGTTTTGTTCTGGAGATGAGTGTCTTGGCTACAGAGTTGATCTGTGCTGGGTGGTGGTGTGAGAGAGCGTGCAGATAGCGGTTTGTGTGTGTTTTCTTCTGGTAGATGGTGTGTCCTAGGGAGCCATTGGATTTCTTGTAGACTAAGACATCCAGGAAGGGAAGTTGGTTGTTAGCTTCTGTTTCCATGGTGAACTGTATTTTGGGGTGTAGGCTGTTGAGGTGTGTGAGGAAGTTGTCCAGTTTTTCTTTCCCATGTGGCCAGATTATGAAGGTGTCGTCTACGTATCTGAGCCAGAGTTTGGGTTTGTAATCCGATTTTTCTAGAGCTTGGGTTTCAAAGTGTTCCATGTAGAGGTTGGCAATGACAGGTGAGAGGGGTGATCCCATGGGTGCTCCTTCTGTTTGTTTGTATTTTTGTCCATTATAGATGAAGTATGTGTTGGATAGGCAGTGGTTGGTCAGATCTAAGATGTGTTTGGGGGGGTTATATTTGTTTTGAATAGCTGTCAAGGCTTCTTTGATAGGCACTTGGGTGAAGAGGGATATGACATCGAAGCTCACTAGTAGGTCGCTGGGCTGTAAGTTTTGTTTCTTTATGATCTCTATAAACTGGAATGAGTTTTTTACGTGTGAGGATGATGGATTCTGCATAGGGCTGTAGTTGTTTGGCGAGAAATTTGGCTAGGTTTTGTAGAGGTGAGCCTATGGAGCTGACTATAGGTCTGAGTGGGGTTCCTTCTTTGTGTATCTTGGGGAGACCATAGAGTTTGGGGCATCTGGATGATTTCTCTCTGGGAATGATTCTTTGCTGGATCTCTTCGCTAATGGGGGAGGCTTTTATTTTGGATCTGGTGGTTTTTTCCAGGTAGGTGGTGGGATCTGTATTTAGGGGTTTGTATGTGGAGTCTTGGAGTAGGTTGGTTAATTTGGTTTGGTAGTCAGATGTGTTCATAACCACCGTGGCGTTGCCCTTGTCTGCTGGTAGGATTATTATGCTGGTGTCTTCTTTCAGGTTACGTAGTGCTGTCTGTTCCTCTTTGGGTAAGTTGCTTTTGGGTGGCTTGCTGGTGCAGAGGATGTTGGTGATTTTGAGTCTGATTTTGTTAGCATCGTCGGGGTTGATTTTGGTCAGGCTGGTTTCAACTCACATATAATGGTTTCAGTGGGGATGTGTTTGGGAGCGACTGCAAAGTTGAATCCTTTGGAAAGGACATTGGTTTCGGCTTTGGTGAGGATCCTATCTGAGATGTTATGCACTGTTTGTTTCATGTGTGGCTGTGAGGGAGGAGGGGTTTGTTTCTGGCGTTCTTGTAGTCTTCGGAGTTTGTTGGTGTGTGTATCTGTCTTGAGGGTGGTCTGTGTTTCGGCTCTCCAGACGGCGAGTTGTTTGGATTTGTCCCAAAGTGCGGGGTGGATCTTGTTGCTGAGTTTGAGGTGGAGTGTGAGGAGATCTTTGTTAATTCGGTCTAGGAGGAATCTTTTTGTGTGAAGTTCATTTCTGATTAGGGCCAATTCTGTTCTTTTCAGGATCCGTTTGGTGGCTGCAGAGTTGGAGTGGAATTTCAGTTGGAAACATGTGGGGATTAGATTTTGATCTCGGCAGTTACGTAGGAATGCGAGGTCACATAAAATGGAAGCTCTTTGGACTTCAAGTTTTTCATAGGTCCTGGTCAGATGGTGGATTTCCTCCCCGTAGAGGTTCAATATTTGTTTTCTGAGGTTTTCACGGGTGTTTGTATGTAGGTCTTTGGTTGTTCGGGTTTTCTCCCGCGTAAAATTGGAAGTGTCTTGGCGACGTTTCGACGAAGTCCCATTCGTCATATTCAGGCTGGTGTTTTCAGCTTCGTGCTTCGAGCAGCAATGTGTGGTCTTAGCTGTTTCTTCCTTTTAACTGCCAGTGGGGGTATGAACTGATTGGGTGGGAGCTTGGCTGTGTTCTGATTGGGTGGAGGTGTGTTCTGATTGGTTAGGGGCTTGGCTGTGCTCTGTGGCTGGCTGGCTCTGATTGGCTGGGGGTTGGCTGTGCTCTGATTGGCTGGGGGAGTGTTCTGTTTGGTTGTGCTCAGGTTAGTCTGAGTTGCAGAGGGGTTTAAGATTTGGGCTGCCTTGCTATTTTTTGGCTTCGCGTTTGTGGTCGTGCCTCATTTTCATGGAGGGTGTCAGTTTGCTTCATGTATGGATTGGAGGGCTTTAAAGTGGCTAATGATGCAGCTCTGGTCTGGCTTCTGGTTTGTGGTCGTGCCTCATCATCGGTGTGGCTGAAAGCACCAGCCTGAAGATGACGAATGGGACTTCGTCGAAACGTCGCCAAGACACTTCCAATTTTACGCGGGAGAAAACCCGAACAACCAAAGACCTATATATATATATATATATATATATATATATATATATATATATATATATATATATAGCATCTGATCAAGCAATTAACTACAAAATAATGATTACAAAATAACAAAACAATGATTACATGATAACACTATATGTATCAATATAAAATGGTTACTATATGTAAAATAAATGCTAATGTCAAACTTAAACATACTAAAATCATAAGCACAATAAAATCCTTTCATTCCCCTAATAGCAGATGTGCATTGCACTGTATTCTAGCTGCACAAAAGTGCTATTCAGCTCTTGGTTAAGTAGGTTTACTTTGCATGGAACCGAAGAATTTGGATTTGTTTGATATTTTGGAGGAAAAGCAATTCTGGCAATGCTAATTCAAATAGAAATAAAGTCTAGAATAGCCAGTCACTAAGATCGTGGACTTCAAATTCTGGGAGCTGAAGTTCACACATCTTAAAGTGGCTGAAGTGGAGAAACACTGGTCTATGTGGTCCCATGTAAAGGAACCTTTAAGAGACATGTTAAACTAGTGCAAAACTATGTTAAAATCAAAACTGCCCAGGGAAAATAGGCAGGAGTGTTAGGTATGTTTGCTGTCTTACGCTGACCAAATATACATATATACAAAGGGAAATAATAGCAATAATATTTTAGAGATTATTGGAGGACACATAACAAGCAAGGTGTGGGACACCTTTCTGACATTTTTTTTCCTCCTTTGACATTGCCCAGTTCTGAAACAAGGAGAAATGGCTCTTACCAAATGTCTGAACTTGTCTCTTGCAGGGAGGTTTGAATCTGATCCAGGGCCATAGATGGTCCACTCCTGGTGCAAAAAAAAAAAAAAAGTTTATCACCTGCTAAAAGTCCCTGTTCTATGTAGGTGTTAAAGAGGCTCAAGAATGTCACAGCCAACTATGGTTGTGTTAAAAATGATACTTATGGGCAGTTTTCACTTTCTCATTTACCATTCCTTCATCTTACACCCAATATATATGCATACAGTATGTTATGTCCCGAGCCTTGCAAACGGGCTCGGGGCATTTGCAGGCAGTCCCGGGCAGGTGCAAGCTGCCCGGGACCAGACAGGCTGTCGCCAGCGCCTGTGCGCATGCGCGGGTGCTGGCGCGGGAAAAGTAACACATTGACCCGGGAATTGCCTATATAAGAGGCTGGGAGCTTTTGGGCGTTGCTGAAGCCTTCACCTGTAAGCTGAACACAGAATAAAAGAAAACCTGAGAACTACAACTACTTCTCGTGTCTGCTTTTCGCCAAGGACTCAACACGGTACATAATACTCTTTCTCATTTTTAATTTATTTAATAGATAATTAAAAACACAATCCAGAAAAAGAATATTTTTTCAAGATAATTCTTAACCCATCTCAGGACACATACCACAATCAGTATTATAGTCCTTGAGATGTCCTAAGGCTATTCATAGTTTCAGCTCTCTCAATATTTGCAATCTACTAACTGAATTCATAGTAATTAGAAGTAGCAATAACAGCACCCGATAGTAATATTAAAGTACCACCAAAGGACCTTTTTGGATGATTTAACCTTTAAATAACCTGTCCTGAATACTCTTTTTTACCTGACTTCATTATTGGCCTTGGGACCCCCTCGCCAGAGAAGGCCCAGGTTTGAAAAGTCTTTCTTCCTTGACATTACTGTTGTTAACTTGAATCTTTCCCATCATCTGTAAAAATTGAAAGAAACCATTAACTTAACTCTTTCCCTGAAAATTAACACGCCAATGTGTTCCACACATTCCTTGGTGGTTGGAAGTTTTCTATTTGATTGGCCAGGAGGATGATGTCACAAAAATTCCAGTTTACCAATCAGTGTCTTTGTGGCATTTTCAACATTGACTTATTTGTTGTGCCATTAACTTCTTTTGATCTATAACCCACTGCCTTCAGATCAAAATATTAAAATTTGTATCAAAATATATAAAGGAGCAGAATAGGTCTATTATATTTTCATAGAGAGCTACATATGTAGTATATGTACCATGTATCAGCCAGTATTTAGCAATTACCAGTAAGCCTAACTGAACATTTAATGTGAGAGAAATATCCTGATCAGGACTTATGAGAACACATTTTCTTCTTGCAGTTTTGCTTGCTTTCTAAGATAGGCTAGGCTAAAGAGAATGATAGAGACCTGAATGCTGAAGAAGCAAACAATCACAAAGTTCAAGAAACACAGGCAGATTTGCACATACATATTATTCCTTCATTTGCTATAAGTAAAATCAGGACAAAATCTTAAAGATGCTAGCCGAATTTTCTGAATTTTTGGAGTCATCAGAGTCGATGGTGCTCTCTAGCTTAGTTTTTTGATTGTAGATGTTTCATTATCTGCTAGGTAACATCATTAATGCTAGTGAATTGGAAATTGTTCTCCGTTTATGTACAGTAGTTTGCCCTGCCAGTTTCCTGAATTTATTGAATTTTAACTCCATCAAATACAATAATGTAAAACCCTTTAAGGATGTGATTAAGTTAATGTGATATGTCAATTATCATCACTTTTCTTTTTCATTAATCCATAATTTTTCTTTGGTGTACCAATGTGAATACAAGGATGCAGGTATGTGCTTTATCTCTTTTATGAAGCGTCGATATTTAATCTTTATAATTTTAAATGTTCTTATATTGATAATTGTTTTTACATTTCTATTTTATTACACTGTAAGCAGCCCAAATTCGCTTTGATAGTGAGATGGGCGACATATGGATTTAGTGATTTCATTAAACAAACAAAAAAACTGGGTCTTCTGGGGCTGTAGGGGTCGCTGTGGGAGGCATCGGCCTTCTAGCTGCCCTTCCTTTTTCCCTCCCCCCCCCCCGCCCGTCCTCTCAGTTCGGTTATCAGGAAGTGTCTGCTGGAGACGCCGGGTTTGCTTCCAGTTAGAAACAGGCGGTGGTTGTTGTTGGTGGTTCCGGTGGCTGTTGGACTGATCTGGGCGTGGTGGCATCATGGAGCACATCCGCACCACGAAGGTAATAATGTTCTCCCTCCGCACCGGCTCGTTTGGCAGTCGGTTAACTGGGAGCAGACCCTTAATTTGTGGCATCGCTAATTACTCCGGTTGCCCAGGCTTCTCTCCGGTTCTTCTCCGTGGCAGCAGGCATCCCACCGAGTGCGGGCCTCTCTTGAGATGACCAGGATACGCTCTCTGAAAGGCGCTCTTTCCCAGCGTGCTGCCCTCCAGATGTTTAGAATCCACAGTCCCCAGAATTAAGAGCTGGTCGCCTGCGATTTCCGGGAACTGTAGTTCCAACACATTTTGGGGATGCAGTATTGGAGGTGACATTGCCCTGGCTGGTGCCTGGTATTTTGTTGAGCGTTTTTTTTTTTTTTTTTTTTGGACAAGGCAGACTGCTTTCTGCGAAGTACTTGGATGTTTCAAAGGAGTCGTCACCTTTTCAGGGTGTATGCATTCTTCCTATCTGGAGAGGCTTAAAATAATAAAATGCGTTACATTTCGGTTATTTCCAACTAAGGATAGATAGAATTGGAATTGTGCGGCCTGTGAGACATCTTGCAAGTGTTGTTACTGAGTAGTTTCAGTCTCTTCTTGATCCACTGAACATCATTTTGACAGATTTGTCTATCAGATTCTTTCAATTCCTGGAAGCATATGTTAATGAAACCTAACTAGCAGGCTTATCAGCCACTTTGTCATTGCCTTAGATTTTTCCAGGCACCAGGATCCTAAGGACTCTCCACAGTTAGTTGTGATCAACATCACTGAATCCACTGTGTAAATTGTGTGCCGCCCAAGGGCACTGCATAGGGTAAAATGCCAGTACCATGTTTAAAAAAACTTCAAAGGGCACACAGTAAGCAAAGATCAATGCTCTTCTTTAAAAAAAAACAAAACACCTGTGTTGCTGTTTCCATTATTGGAAATTAGCAATGTGATTTTGGAAATCCTTACTTCTTCCAAATTCAGCTTGTATTTTATTCTCATACCATGTACTGTTGAATTCTGGACTACAAAATCTTGAGCATTAGTAAGAGATAAATGTAATAATTCAGAAGTCTGAGCATTTTTCAGCACTGTCATTTTTGCTATTGAAATAACTTTTTTTCCTAATTGCTTGGCTGCTGCTGTTTTTTCTGTATTTATCAATTGCAAGTAGCAATTCAGCTGTATAATCTTGCAATAAATCTGCTGGTATTTTATCATTTTCTAGGTTTGCCTCCTTTTTTATACACTGTTTAATGTTTCCTCATTATTCCATATGCTGTTTTACTTTCAAATTTAGCAAATTAATTTAGCAAGTGAAATGATGCTTTTTTTAATGGTGTTGTGTCAACAATGTGTTGTACATTACTGTAGCATTATTTAGCTTCTGTTTCTTCTGTATTCATGGTTTGAGCATAGACATGGATTAATGTAATATTGATTTGCTTTCCTTCCGTTCTTGTAAGTAACTGACAATAGCTATCTGTCAATAGCTTTTGCTTGATCTTTTTTTGCATATCAATAATTACCAGTATTCTTAACCTGAGATTTCCCTGTCATTGTAAATTTGTAGGTCTGTATCTCTGTCCAGTAGTGCTGAAACAGTATGTGTGAACCAGATCTTGTTGTGTTCTTACAGCATACTTTTAAATTTAGCACATCTAATATTGCAGCTTAAGGTATGAAGAGTTGGGCATGAACAGGACCCCCCCTTTCATAATTAGAGACATTCATGCCCTAATTTCAGTGGATTATAGTCTAGAGCAGATGTTTCATCTTGGCCTACCCCAGGCTCAAAGTATTTCACAGTGGAATCCAGAGGACATTCATTGTGGTCTGGCTCCAAACAAAGCATAAGAGCATCCTCTTCAATTCTTTCAGTACTTTTGATATTTAGAAAACAATCCATGCAGATAGTCAAGAAATAACTATATTGCTATGGAGTTTAGTGCAACTTGTGAGCAAACTATACCATACAGGACAACTTTCTGCGCAATAAATAGTTTGGTTTCAGTTATGCTGAGCTATTGTTGGTTATTTATTTAGTTTCATGAGATACACTGTTTTTTTTTTTTTATGCAGGTTGAACAGGTAAAATTACTAGACCGATTCAGTACAAACATCAAGTCACAAATGGGAACTCTTTACCTTACAGCAACTCACTTGTTATTTATAGATTCCAGCGAGAAAGAGACATGGGTAAGGAGACTAAGATTTTATGCTGCATTCTTTTATACACACACACACACACACACACACACACACACACACACACACACATTTACAGACGTGTGACATTTGTATTACAACTCTAAAGGCAGTCCTAAACATGGAAGTTGAGTGTGTAGTAACTGTTTAGCTGCACATCTTTATAAAGTTTTTCTTAAAAAGAATATAATATTTTTCTGAGCTTCACTGCATCTATATTTCAGTATTTGAAAAAAAAAGGGTATATTTGCACCTAAACAAAATGAGAAATCTCCATTGAATATGCTTAAAGCTACTTTTCAAACAGAAAAAGAGCAACAAGCAACTCTGACGTAATATTACGGTCATTATAGTGAATATGTATGTCATCTTGTGTGAACCTGATACTGACTATATGTATTGGTACTGCAGCTTTCAGAATACCCACAAGCATAGCCAATCCTGAGAGATGTAGCATCAGTACATCTGGAGATAGCTGAAATGGGAAATACTGATACAGATTTTATGCACCCTCAGTGGAAACTAAAATAGTTAAAAGAGCATTCTCTGTATTGTTTAACTTACAGTTTTTATGGTTTCCTGTATGCTGTAGATATTACACCATCATATTGCTGCAGTGGAGAAACTTGCTTTGACTACTTCTGGCTGCCCCTTAGTAATTCAGTGCAAGAACTTCAGAATAGTTCACTTCATTGTTCCTAGAGAAAGAGACTGCCATGATATTTATAATTCTTTGCTTCAGCTGTCAAAACCAGGTAGGGGACAGCTTTTTTCATTTCAATATGTTTAGTACAGAGGGTTGTTTTGCTTATATTTTAAAGAACTAGACAACAAAGATCAGACTCATTTTTTTTCTTTTTTCCCTCCTCCTGTTTTAGCAAGATACGATGAATTATATGCCTTTTCATATAATCCAAAACAAAACGAGGAAGAGAGGGTGCGAGGCTGGCAAATCATTGACCTCACAGAAGAATACAATCGGATGGGTGTGCCTAACTCTGAATGGCAATTATCAGATGCAAACCACGATTATAAGGTAATAGGTTACTTGTGTATTTATGATGTATCTGTTAATTTTCTAGTCCTCTCATATTTTACAAAGATCGAATGGATTTTTAAATACCAGAATGGTTGCTTTCATGTCAGGGGAAGAACAGTTATTGATTTATTCTCTTCTCTTTTCAGAATTGTGTTTCAAAAGCACTCTCTTGATTCATACAACTTTTTAATAATTTCTTTGAGTCAGGGTTAATGTAACTTGTCCTTAACTGGGTGGTTGGATGATCTGCAAGAACTATTTAGGTGGTACACATACAAGTTGAAAAACAATTTGGAATATCTCTGTTTAGACCTGTGTTTTTTTTCTTTCCCTGCTAACAGAGATCAAGACTTGATTGGAGATTGTTAAACAAGATGCTATAATTCTCATTTAAAACCTGTAATTGGCAATATTTTAACCCTATTTTCAGCAACAATATATTTCTTAAAAAAGCGTTTCTTAGGACCTGGTTGAACTGATTTCCATAATACAGTATTAGCTTTGATAATGACTCTGATGATTCTTTGAAGAATCTTTGTGAAATTAAAAATATGTTATATAAACAAAAAGAGTTACTCATCTGTCGAATAACATGTAGTTTTATTTTCAGGGAAAAATAATTGGAGACTTCTTGTCCTAGAGCAGGGGTAGGCAACCTTGGCTCTTTTATGACTCGTGGACTTCAACTCCCAGAATTCCTGAGCCAGCCATGCTGAGGGGAAAGGGAGAGGTTTCCATGCTTAGCCATGCTGGCTGAGGAATTCTGGGACTTGAAGTCCACGAGTCATAAAAGAGCCAAGGTTGCCTACCCCTGTCCTAGAGCAATGGAGCAGGTTGGCATAGAGTTCATTTTAGTCTGGCAGGCAGAGGAAGAGGGAGGCTCTTTTAATTTTCTTCCAATCAGTAGTTTTGTTAATCTTTTCCCTTTTAACATTATGGTGGTAGTGCTGAACAAATGGTAGATATGCCCAGTCCCCAGAGTTATGGGTCCTGTGATCAAAATTTGGAGTCTGCCCACATGTAATAACTGCAGGCAAACTTCGATGTCCTCCATATACCTGTCTCCTCTGCCTCATCTTGCAAAACAGCATAGCCAGAAGGACAGAGATAGGGAAGAGATGGGCGGGTGGGGGGTTTGAAGAGGAGACAGCCCCTTACTCTTAACTAAAACTCAGGGCTGGGAGGGACCAAGCCAGAAATGCCTTGGATCAGAATGAGTCCTCACCTAACTACTGGTAGAGTTTGGCTAATGATAGTAACAGGAAGTGCCAGGATTGCTGTTGCTAAGTGATGCAGTCATATTGTGGTTTACAACTGCATTGCCTACTGATGAAATTCTGATCCCAATTACCATCACAACCGAAGGACTACTTGTAATAAAAACCTTTGTCACAATTACATTACATAGTGTTATATACAAGCTTGGTCAGCTTTCCTTTTGTGATATATCTTTCTTATACTTTGGTCTGGAGATTTCCCCCCAAGATTGTATGCCTCAGGCCAAGAACCCTAGCTTATTTATGACCTGTGGATTTCAACTCCCAGAATTCCTGAGCCAGCCATGCTGGCTCAGGAATTCTGGGAGTTGAAGTCCACAAGTCATAAAATGAGCCAAGGTTCCTCACCCCTGCCTCAGGCAAATGTTTATGGTTTTTCATGTGTCTTGCATAATTTCTCTTTTCCTCTTTTGTTCTTGGATATTTTTACTGATATTTTCATTTTAAAAATGGTTCCTGTTTTAGGTTTCTCATGTCAATGTTCATTGCAACTAGTGAGCTGTACTCTGTGAACTTTTTCTTTGTAACTATGTTACATTTGTATTTAAAATGTTTACCAAATAGACATCTTGTAGAAGGGAAATACATAAATCCACAAACTAGTAATGTGTTAGAATTACTGGTAGAAACATTCATCAGCATATATTTTTATCACACAATTAATTGCCCATATTTTCACTTACTATTTTTTTAAAGATAGTCAGACTTTAATGTTTTAGTAATACTTTGTTTTTAGTTTTGAAGAACCCTGGAAATTTGAATGGAGAATTTTAATCTAAACAGCTCATCTTAGCTCTGGCTTTTATCACATGTTGGGGAATTGTACTGCCTCCTGTAAATATGTGGTCAATTGCCATGGTCCCATTCTTGATCATTACACTCAGCCAGAAGAGATAGATAAGACTGGACATTATTGCATTTGAAGCTGTATTCTATTCTCTCATTCCTTTCCACTTCAATCCATTTTTCTGATATTGAGAACTTTTAGATATCCCAATGTAGATATTTCTGACAGAAAATGGAAATTGGATATACAACATACCCAATATGAATTTTGTTTGCAATTTCTTTTTTTTAAAACTTTCACAGATTTGCGAGACATATCCTAGAGACCTTTATGTTCCCAGGAGTGCAAGCAAGCCCATAATTGTTGGCAGTTCTAAATTCCGAAGCAAAGGAAGGTTCCCTGTGCTCTCATATTATCATAAAGATAATGAGGTATAGTCTGATTTCTTTTCAACGCAAGTATCTAAAGGCTATTTTCCAGTACAGGAAAAGACAAAGTGGGTAAGTACAGTAATCTAGGTCCCTAGATCTATTCTAGTGCAATGAAAGTGGATGCTACTAATGCAAGTAGTCCTTGACTTATGACCACAGTTTGGACTGGGATTTCAGTCGCTAAACAGTGTGGTCATTAAACGAGTCATCACTTGGTTTTGCAAACCATTTTTACTGCTATTGTTAAGTGAATCATCATGATTGTTAAGTGAATCTGGCTTCCCCAACTGACTTTGCCTTAGGAAGCTGGCTGGGAAGATTGCAAATCGCGATCCCATGACCACAAGAAACTGCAGTGGTCATAAATGTGAGCCAGCTGCCAAGCACTCAAATTGATATCACATGACCATGAGGGTGGTCATAACTTTGAGGACGAATCATAAGTCGCTTTCTCCAAGGTTGTTATAACTTTGAACTGTTGTTAAATGAGCAGGTGTAAGTCAAGGACAACCTGCAATAATAATAAGACTGGGTATTTATGACTATAATAATTTCTCAAACATAAAGAAATATAGTATTAGTTTCCTTAGTTTTCTGTAAGCAGTAATGTAGTAATTATCTACGATTAGAAAACTCACAGATTGGCAATCCTTTCTGTGTGGAATCAATAGCCTACAACTAAACTAGCATGCACGATCACAAGAAGCAAGGGACATACTGGTCAATAACAATCTCAGTGACACTGATGCAAATCAACTATATTTGCAAATATACTTCTGCAGCAAATGCAAGCTGTATTTATGTTTTAAATCTATCGTTATAGAAAATCTGAGCATATTCCCTTCCTCCCCAATAACGTCTTGCAGGTACAGCTTTGAAACCCTGAAGCCTTGCTTTCCCCCCCCCCCTTTTTTTTGTTACATTGTAAGATAGCTACAGACTGACTTACTGTTCCAGCTTTCATTCGTGTAAATGCAACCTTTTCTTTATATTTACCCCTCTTCTTTCTCACCAGGCCACCATTTGCAGATGTAGTCAGCCTCTCTCAGGATTCAGTGCCAGATGTCTGGAGGATGAACACATGTTGCAAGCAATAAGTAAAGCTAATCCCACTAACCACTATATGTATGTCATGGACACCAGACCAAAGGTATATTTGTAGGTTGTTTTTCTTTTTCTCCCATTCCGTTTGGCATTCTTGCAGTCTTTACTCTTCATTTTTATCACTTGTTATGGTTTTTCTGTTTTTGATGTTTGACTGCTCAGATTCGCTGGGTATCAAGCAGCATATACACTTCATAAATTGTTCTTGTTATTTCCTTTCTACTTATTGATTTTCAGTCCTTTAACAATAGGATCATGCAATAGTTCACATTCCGTTTGAAAAAAAAGTGTTTTGAAATGTGTGGGATTGCAACGGCAGCGCTGTCCGGAATACTTTAATGCAGCCATGTCTTTTCCTTATATGACAACTGCACAGTTCCAGAAAAGATTTGATTCCTTTGGAATTGGGGATAGGTGCCCTACTTATGATAAAAATAATTGAGCAGTGAACAGTGGAATAGGATGACTTTCTCAATTCGATATTGTTCTACTTGTGAAAACAATCATGTTTATTTTATTTTATTTATTTGTTTTCTTTAAATGCCACTCTAATTTCCAAAGGATCTGAATGACTTACAGGAAACTAAGATATCTGAGGGTACCGGGTTGGGAGTCAGCATGGCTAATCATTTGAGTTAAAAAAAAATCATGCAAAATCACAGTAGACCTAAGTCTGAGAAGCCAAATCATAAAAATATAATTTTCTTCTGTTTCAAGTACACATGGCTTAGAACAGGGCTTTTCAACCAGTGGTACGGGTACCATCTGTGGTACGTTGGCACCTGGCAGATGGTACGCGGCCATCCCAGAAAGTGGTAGTGGGGGAGGGGAACGAGCTGAACCGGTGGCACAAGCCTGAGTGAGAGATGACTGGAGCTGCAGGGCTATCAGGGCTCAGTGGACGCGCCAGGATCAGTACTTCGGGACTGTCAGGGCTCAGTGGAAGCATCAGGATCAGCGCCAGGTTCCAGCTGGAGCTCGGCGTTGATCCTGGCACTTCTGCTGAGCCCAGAAGAAGCGCCGATCAGCTGGAATGTTGCAGCATCTCCAGGGTCTTGTGATTTACATTCAGATGCTTGACAACTGATTCATATTTATGACGATCACAGTGTCCCAGGGTTATGTGAAGTGACCAAAACCTGCTGCAACTACCCAGCAGACGAGGGGGAATAAAAACCAAACACCCCCACCCCACCCCCGCTGCCAATCCTCAACAGAAATGCTCACAACAATGAAAACCTTGGACAGTAGGAAGAGCACCACCGGGTGGGCAGGCAGGTGTCCTGCTCGGCTTTGGCTTGGAGGGCACTTTTTTCAGTGCTATTGTAACTTTGAACAGTCACTAAGCAAACTGTTATAAGGAGGACTACCTGTACTTTATCACTTTTTTCCTTTTGGGGGGGGGGGGTCATCAAGTTTTTGACATCTTACTAGGCGACTGGTGATACTCGGATGTTGCCATATCCTGGCACAGTGGGTGACAAGGTTGAAAAGCCCTGGCTTAGAATATATTATACAAATTATTATAACAGTTGTATATTACTTTGTTTCCTATACATGACTGTACCTTCTTTTTCTCCAAGCTGAATGCAATGGCCAATAGAGCAGCAGGTAAAGGGTATGAAAATGAAGATAATTATTCCAACATTAGATTCCAATTTGTTGGCATTGAAAACATCCATGTAATGAGATCAAGCCTGCAAAAGCTTCTGGAAGGTATGAATATATGTGCCCTTCACTAACATTAAACATTTCTTGAGTATAAAATTTACTCTAGCAGAAAGATGATTTCGCATGAATCTAGCTCATATCAAAGGATTTATTGAAATAGTATATTTCTCATGCTATATATATTACTAATGTGAAATTCAACTTTCTAATATTGTGGAGAGACTATCCTCTTAATTATTTCCTCTGTTGAACATATTTCAATTCAATTAATATAAGCAAGGCAGAATCATTGGTAGTCATGCAGTATATGCATTTAATCATTTATGGTTTCATTTATGTATGGATTATTTCAGAAATTGTTAAAGCTTGCCTTCCTAGTAATGGAGATTTTATTAAATATGTATATGAATGTATAAATTACATAAATATTTAACATGCATAAATTATGTAATTATTATTTATTTATATGATATAATTAATATGTCATTTAAATACTTAATTGTGGGAAGCTACCTAATTGGAATCTCATGAAGTTATTCCTTCATGATTTCCTTCGAGTTTAGCAGCTGTTAGCATTATTTACAATATCTGCCCATCTGAGGAGACTGAGGAGTCACAACATGTCAAACAAGTGCATGGCTGCATTGATAATTCCTTATAGTAAATATTTAAATTATAAAAGACATACATTCATTCTAAACAAGAGGAACATTGAAGATTCAAAGCTAGCAATATGATGGATGCAATCTTTTAAAGTAGAATTATGAGCCGAGGTGGCGCAGCAGTTAGAGTGCAGTACTGCAGGCCACTTTAGCTGACTGTGTTCAGCAGGTCAGCGGTTCAAATCTCACCGGCTCAAGGTTGACTCAGCCTTCCATCCTTCCGGGGTAGGTAAAATGAGGACCCAGATTGTTGGGGGCAATGTAAATATATATATACATTGCTTACTGGTGTACACCGCTTAGAGAGTGCTTGCACTTAAAGCGTTATATAAGTCATAAATAAATAAATAAATAAATAAATAAATAAATAAATAAATGAAGAAGATAATTATGTTATTTTTATAGTATAAAAGAACTGTTTATACTAGATTGCTTCTGCATAAGTAACAATACAAGAAACCAGAGTCTAGACGGATTGGGGCATAAACAGGATATATAAAAGAAACCAGGATAGGGAAAATACTTCATATGCTTAACAAGTTCAGAAATTCAGATTTCTTCTTATAGTTGCTAAAATCCACTTTTGATTCTTGCACAGAGAGATGCTACTACTGCATTTGAATTGATCTGTGTTTCATTTTATTTTAGTTTGTGGAACAAGAGGCTTATCAGTCAATGATTTTCTGTCTGGCTTGGAGAGCTCTGGATGGCTGCGACACATCAAAGCAGTGTTGGATGCTGCTATCTTCTTAGCTAAAGTAATTTGCATTTAGTAATTTGTCAAAAGTTGATATTTGTATTATCCATTTGAGAATATAGATGGCCTTCAGTAAGCACCATCAGATGAAGGGAATTTGGAAATTTCATTTCTAAAGTCTTCAAATCTTCAAGGATCCATAGATTAGTAGCAGAACATGTATGTTTAAACAGAAATACCACATTCTGTTTGGGAATTTGCCTTTTTTAAAAGAAGTATATATCATGGTATCAAGACTGGCCACTGCTTAACTTCCTAAATAGTTTAAGTCAGCTATTATTATTTATTAAATGTATATACTGTTCATGTTGCATATATTAACTAAATAATATTTAGTTGGTAAGCATTCAAACCTGCCATAAGGCAATCTGTTAATGTTCCTAAAGTAAAAGAGACAAAACTGTCAGCTTAAGCTGTGATAATCATATTTTGTCAATAAGGCAAATAAGGATCTGTGAGTTGAGTAATTCTTTTACTCTTTTCCTCAAGCAATCTGCTGTAAATAAATGTTGAACAGTTAGGTGGGATCCAGGCATAAATATGTTTAGCTATCTCAGGGTGATTATGGGAAATTCTGGGAATTGAAGTCCAAAAATCTTAAAGTTGCCCAAGTTGAGAACACTGGCCTATAAATATGTTGAGAGTGTATTCCCAGAATTCCTTTCCATTGTGACATAGTTTATAGATGGTTTGGTTCTGCATTAATGTTGGCTAGATTAGAACTTCTGGGAGTTCCATTTCTAGCACATTTGGAGTTTTTGAAAGGCTGGAGTGAATTAAATATTAAATAGTTGAATTCATTTTCTTTGTTATATACACATCAGTAAGTTTTGTTCTTTTTACAGGCCATAGCTTTTGAGAGTGCAAGTGTATTGGTACATTGCTCTGATGGCTGGGACCGGACATCTCAGGTCTGTTCCTTGGGTTCTCTGTTATTGGATCCTTTTTATAGAACAATTCAAGGATTCATGGTAAGTATGCAAAGCGAGCTTAAGTCATATTCGCCCAATGCTACAGCTGACCAACTTTATTAAATTTGCAGTTCAATAATTTTGTGTTTGAGATTTGCTCATCTACTGAATAGTGGGGCTTTTGAACATAATACTGTGCATTACTATTCAAGAGTAATTAAATTAAATCAGTGGATCTTGATTCAAATAATTCTTGAATCAGTAAGATTCAGATATTAAATACATAAGTGTTTTAAAATAAGTAATTTCAAAAATGTTTCAAACAGATATATTTATATTTTCTCAATAAATGGAAAGAAGATTACAAGCTATTGATGTGTTTCTGGTGCTAATTTTAAGTTGTAAACATGCAAGTTGACTCTGTTATATTTGGTAACTTGGACTAGATATTTTAAAGATCTGTGCCTTGTTTTCTAAATTCTGTAATTAATGAACTTTACAGTATCATTTAAAATCTGCATTTTTTTGTTTTTGTTTTTTTACTTGTGGCATTTCTGTGGAAGAGCAAAGATATATGTACAATATAGGTAATCTTCACTTACTGACCACGGTTGGGATTGGTATCTCCATTGCTAAGCAGTACAGTTATTAAGTATGATGTCATGTGATCACATCAATTCCTTTCAGTTCGGGCTGTGATCGTTAATCACATGCAGTCATTAAGTGCAATGTCATGTGACCACAACTTGCAACTTCCTTCCAGCTTCGCCATTGGTTTTGCTTATTAGAAGCTGGCTGTGAAGGTCGCAAATGGCAATTGTGACTCCAGGATGCTGTAAATATACACTGGTTGTGAACATGTGACTATGGGGACACCGTGATAGCCACAATGTCGAGGACCTGTCACACATCTCCTGTTTTAGCAACAGTGTAATTTTGAATGGTCAGTGAACGAGCGATTGGTAAGCAAGGGCTGCTTGTAGTCCTCATTGTCCAGCCTTGGAAAACCTGTTTTGCTTTCTCGATTGAGCTAAGAAATCCAGAATGAAAATGGCAACATGGGAAATATTTTTTAAACTAAAACATAAAGCATAGTACTGGTTTAAAAACTGATACGTGATTTCTTCTAGGTTTTGGTGGAAAAAGACTGGATTGCTTTTGGACACAAATTTTCAGATAGGTAATGTTTTTAACTGTAATACACTTGTATTCTTTATGTTATGTGTCTCATTATGTTAAATTAATATGCAGCGTATAAGCCTGCATATTTTGATTTTGTTCAAACGAATTTAAGGTGGAAAACATTTATTTTAGAACAATCAATTGCTTTATATACTATTAAGATTTTATAAAGATTGAAAAAATAAACCCGAGCAGCCTTATTTCCAATTTAATTAACTGACTTAAAACTCTTAACTGATCAGATTTTTTGGGGGGCTGTACAGCCCCTTCCTAGTTTTTAGCAGGTTGCAAGTTATGTTCAAATGGCTGCACACTCTCACACTATTTTTCTCTTGCTGGAAGAGCTGTCCTTATTGCAAAGAGTATTTGGCGAAACGATATAGATCATTAACAATAAGTACCTTTCCCATTATTACTTGCATAGATGCTGCACAAGCTTAGTTTTTTTCCCATTCTATTTTGTGTTGTGTTTCTAACTGAAGTTAAGATTAACATTTTATATTTGAATCACTAAGGTCTAAATGCGGCACACAGTTTCCTCCCTCTGATGTCAATATTGTGGTGTATTTCAGACAGCTTTCTATTCCATGCCATGGATAAGGAGCAAACCACTTCTGTATGCCCTGCTAGCAGTCTTGAATAGGATAGGAAATAGAGCAGACACACTAATTTTGCCAGAGTGGGTATTGCTGACATTTTTAAAGATTTCTTTGGAATTGGGTGACTTTGATTCTTTAGGAGGATTTGGGGTTTTACTTTAAGTGTTGTGGATACCCAAGTCTCTGGAAGGCTTAAGGCAATCATTTTGTCCCTTAAACCCATGCAGTCCACCTCCTCCCCCAAATCAAATGCAAATATTTAGCTTTGACCAGTCTGGAGGGTCCTGGGAGTCATAAGATATCAGCCACCCCAAACTCTATGATGGACTGCTTATGAAACAAGTCAGGGTCTTCAAAAAGCAGTTTGATATGGAGTGCTATATTCTTTTGCTGCAGCCCAGTGAACGTGCCTAGAAGTTCTTTTGTGCCTGAATAATAATTGCCCTGTCAACTGTGTTACATAAAGTGTAACACAAAACAAGGTTTAAAAAAAAGGAAGTTTCAACCATTTTTTTAACCAGTCTTTATGTGTATCCATAGACTGCTTAGTGAAAGTTCCTCATCTACTATGGGAAATGCATCATTTTTATCTCTCATTAATTGACACGGAATGTTATATTTTATAGATGTGGACAACTGGATGGTGACCCAAAGGAAATATCCCCAGTGTTTGCCCAATTTTTAGAATGCGTCTGGCACCTGACAGAGCAGTTTCCACAGGCCTTTGAGTACAATGAAGCTTTTCTCCTTCAGATCCATGAGCACATCCATTCATGCCAGTTTGGAAACTTCATTGGAAACTGCCAAAAAGAACGAGAAGAACTCAAGTAAGACTCTTAGAACGATACATTAACACAAAACTGAACTTCTCAGTTTATTCCTCCCTCCTCCCTTGTGTTTTTTCTTCCCCCATTTTTATGCTACAATTAGAAAGCTTCCCACTGTACTTACAGATCAATATAGAAAGGAAGTCCCTGTCTTCAGACTTATAGCCTGAAAAATCACTGTCTAAATTGTGGGAGTTTAAAAATAAAATAAATTTTCAAAAGAAAAAAAAGGAAAGGGAAAGAAAGGAGCGGAGAGGGGAGGGGAATGTTGTAGCAAAAGAGTTCCTGTACTTAGTCTTTCTTTCTGCTACAGCCTAATGGAACAGCTGCACTTTACTGCCAATAGTAGTCCAAGAGTTTCCTCTTAGGGCTATTAAATATTAAACTATCTGATAAAATCAGTGATGGAAATCAAGCTTTGCTAGGCTGAACAGTGAGGTGAAGCTCTTTTGAGTGCTGAGGCTTAGAATCCGTTTTCAAATGGAGGAAACGCCCAATATATATGTTTGGGGGGGGGGAATCTGCTTGTTTGGATTTTAATATGTGCAAAATCTTCTTGAGAGTAATATATTCCTTTGATATAGAAGAAAACCACATGAACATAAGTCTTCCTTCAATATGTTTTCTTTTCCTCCCCTTTGATGACCATTTAACATCCTGAAATTCCTTCTAGTCAGTTTATTGGGTAGGAGCTTTGGAATGGACTAGATATCTGTGTTGTATTCTCTTTTTTGTGCTCTTTAAATTAGTGAATGTTAATGGGGTAGGGATGGGCAGGAAGGCAGTGTTCCAACACTTTCTTTGTAGTTCATAGTTGTAATTAAACTCTGCTCTTTACGCCTGCTTTCTGCTTATAAATATCCCACATTTTGTGTACCTTGATACAGTATTGATATTCCTCAACCACTGACAAGTGCTTAACTCTAGGCTCTTCTTATCTTAAGATTGAAACAGAAGACTTTTTCCTTGTGGCCTTTTCTTTTGGATGACCACAGGAAATACCTAAATCCAATCTACAATGAACATTTTTCACAGTCACTTACAGTTCTGGAGCCAGATACAGCCGCCTTTAATCTTAAGTAAGTTTCAGTTAATGCGTTTTATGTCCCAGGACCTGAATGGGTGCATTAACATAGCATTGTGTTGATACATACAGGTTTTGGAGAAACATGTATCATCAGTTTGATCACACAATGCATCCACGGCAATCTGTACTCAGCCATGTGATGAGCATGAGTGAGCAAAATAAACAACTGGAGAAAGATATTAAAGAACTGGAAAATGTGAGTATTGGCAACTAATTTCACTCCTGACTCTAAAATAGGACCGCTTTTCCCCTCAAAAATCATTTCTTTATTCCAAAATTAGAAGTGGTTTTAATCTCCATTCATTGTTTTGCATTGTATCTGTAGCTTGAGGAGGGTTGTTTTTGTTTTCTGCAATTGGGTATAGAAATTAAGATTCCACTAACTTGATATCCAGTTGCCTCTTTTGATTTCTTGTACCACAGTCTCCAGTACCAGCATTTTTAGTACTTTACAATGGGTAGCGGATTGTAATAGTAAATCCGTAAAATCACTTCAGTCTAGAGCAGGGGTGTCAAACTGCCGGCCCGCGGGCCGGACGCATCATCCAGAAGCCGCGCCCACCCCATTGCTGGCAATGGCAAAACTGTCCTGATATGTTGCGCGATGTCACATGACATCACGAAGTTGACATGTCTGGTCTAGAGTTATCGCTTATCAGGAACAGGAGGACGGATGGATGAACAATCAATATTATGGGGAAGCAATGGGTGAAACTGGAGAAAAACCCATATTTAGTCCCTTATATCTTCAAGTAGAAGGTGTTAGGTTAGCATAACTGGGAAGTGCCTCCAGTTGAGGTTAGGGAGGCCATTACTTGTCAGAGGAGACAATACGGGACTACATAAACCATTGACTAGACTTAGGTACAAAGCAGTTTCCTACCCAGAAGATTGGAAACTAGAATAAGTACTGTTAATAATAATAATAATAATAATGTTGGAAGGGACCTTGGAGGTCATCGAGTCCAACCCTAATAAAGTTGGAAGGGACCTTGGAGGTCATCTAGTCCAACCCCCTGCTCAGGCAGGAAACCCTACACCATTTCGGACAAATGGCTATCCAGTCTCTTCTTAAAAACTTCCAGTGTTGGAGCATCCACAGCTTCTGGAGGCAGGTTGTTCCACTGGTTAATTGTTCTAACTGTCAGGAAGTTTCTCCTTAGTTCTAGGTTGCTTCTCTCCTTGATTAGTTTCCATCCACTGCTTCTTGTCCTGCCTTCAGGAAAGAAAAGAGATAAAAACTATTAATTCTGAATCATTTTTTTTTTAATATTAGAAATTGGGCCACCATTTACACAAGGATTTGGATGCAGTCTTTGGGAAGGAACCATTGCAGTCTGTCTGTCCCTCATCGCTCTGCTTAAAGAAGGAGCAGCCTCTTTTACATGAGAATGACTGTATTCGGACAATAGAGGGCTCCAACACAGCAGACAATCGATACAGCGAGTACATGGAAGAGTTCTCCAAAACAGAGCCTAGTGTTGTCAGCCTGGAATACGGAGTGGCAAAAATGACCTGTTAAATGTCACACAAAGCAGTTCTGCTTTTCTGAAAAGATTGAAGTTCAAGACAGGGCATTTGTGAGTCTGATCTCTTGGAATGTAACCAAAAACTAATGTGTGCAATGGAAAGCTTCATTAATGTAGACTAGAGTGCATATTTAGTTTTGAAAATGTCACTCTTGTAAGAGGTAATTGAATTTAACAATGTTGAAAAGGATATGAAAAACTTAAGAAATCTTTTGTGGGGAATTGGGAAATGAAGTTGAATGCCATAATAAATTGCAGCTACACTAGCTCATTCCAAATGTTCACCAGTTTTGGTCCCGATGGAGTCATAGTCAAAGTAAACCCATTGAAATTAGTGAGATTTAAACAAGCCAAGATTTCAGTGAATCGACTAACATATGACTACTTCTAATTCACCCAGTGTGATTATTGCCAAATAGTAAATGATATTTGACTGTTTGCTTTTAGGATACAGACAATTTACTGGGATCAGTGAACATCTGTATATAAATGTAAAGTGTGTATGTGTTCCTGTTTAATCTATTGACTGTTACAGTATTTTCAGTGAAATCTACATCATTAATTAGTATCAAGGTATTAAGAACGATATTCATATATATTGGTTCTGCTTATGTTTTGAGAGCAGCTCATTTAGAATATCTAAAATATGCTTAATGACTTCTTTAAATTATTCTCTTTCAAAACAGTACCATGAGATTCACATCAGTAATTATGGAATATAAATTTCTTGTATTCAGTTTTAACTCATTATAAAAGTAAGAAATCTCTCTCTCTCTCTCTCACTCTCTTTACTTTATGATGAAGCTCTAGTTATAAAGAAAAGGGGAAAAGAAGGTTTCTTAACCTGGTTAATGAGTTAAAATTGCATCCCTAAAACTGTGTATCTTCCATATACTTCTGTCCAACTATTGGAGGTACAGTTTAGGTAAACTAGGAGTACCACATGTATTTCAAGGATTGGAGTACCCAATTCCAAGAATAGGCTGTATTTCAGAGAGGTCATATTTTTAGGCTTCTTGCAATTATGTATGAAATAACTTGAGCATCCAATGAAATAGAAAGTATAGGACCATACCTTGTTTTTGATTGGATATATTTGCGGTTTCCTGCAGGATTTTAATCTGTTTTGTAAATCTGCTTTAAAAGGTGCAGCTTAATTTGAAATAAAAAGCTTGTTATTCAATCAGTAGTATTACCACATTAATGTATTAGTTGAATAAACGTGAATTACTAATCAAGTAGCCACTCTTGGGTAAAGGCTAAGAACAAACTAACATTTAGGTTTACAAGTCAAAATGACCGCAGAATCTTTGATGTTTTGAAAATATATTAATGTTCACATTTACTATCCAGGACAGTATCCAAAGTCACAGGAAACAGATCTCCAGTTTAAGCAGAATACTTAGGTAAAAGGTATGCTGTGTATTTGTGTAGGTGAGTCAGTGTTTTTCCCAATATCTTTGTTTTTACTTCACCAGAAAAAAGAATGGATTTGCTTTAGTGGGACCCTGTCTCTGTTTGCTTTCTCCCAATTTGTTTTTATTGTTCAAATGAAGAAAAGGAAATGAGTATTGAAAGCTGAGATGGTAAACATGCATGCCTTGGGGATATCAAACATCCCAGGTGGTATAGTAGGTAATTTGTACCTGAGGGACCAAATGCTTATTACACAGACAGTGAAAATTAGTTTAGCTTTGCAGTAATCACTGAAGGCTGTGTGAACAGTACCGCCATCAGGCTACTTAATTGGGATTCAGTCACAACAATTGGGATTCAGTCACATAACAGGTGAGAAAAATCTTACCTGGAACACTTCAAGGGTCACATTATAATGTATGAAGAAGGAATGTGGCAAAAATTGTGCTTTTTGATATTGTTGATGATGGACCTATTTAACTACAAAAAATGGTTAAAAGAGAAAAAAGGGATCTATCATTTACCCAAGAAATGGTGTATTGTCATGTATTTTGCCTGTTTAGGCATTGTGCAGATTTTGCACAGTAATTTTGAAAAATATTAGGGCAGAGAAATATGGACCTCTAGTTTTTTCCTACAGATTAATAATTGCTTGTTACCAGATATATTGAAAGTATAAGACCATTGTATTACAAATTATTTCTTGCAATTGTCTTCTGATTAAAAAAATACCTATGTATAGCTGCATTAATCTTGCTGAACTGTTATAAAAGTAGCTTCTTGAATCAGTTTCAATAGTAGAAATGCAAGTCTTTGGATTATCTGCCTCTACAGGTATTTATTTTATATTCCACTTTTCTATCAGGAGCTGAAGATGGTAAGCTTAGTGCTCTCTATTTTCTCCACAACAACAAAATAGGTTGGGTTGAGAAAGAGTGACAACCAAAATCACCCAGTGACCTTTGATAGATGAGGATTAGAATTACCCAAATCTACATTCTGTGTCTCTGTCTCTGTCTCTGTCTCTCTCTCTCTCTCATACACACACACACACACACACACACACACACACACACACACACACCACTGTTAGTACTACTACTACTACCACTACTACTGCTGAGGATATAGAATGCAACAGAAATCTTGGAAGGAATCAGAACAGCAAATGTAGGTCACAAAACAGCATACGCTAGGATACTTGAGAGACACATTATAACAGAATGCTTGTCCTCCTGAGGGTTCTTAATGAATGTAAATGTGGAATGACTGATCTAACAAAAGGTATAACTTATACATTTGATCTTGTTCAGCGCTGGATGACTGGAACGTAGCTATGTGACAGTTTTTAAAAAGAGAACCAGGAAATTATAGGCTGCTCAGCGGCATGTTTGTTCTTGACAAATTATAGAAATGATTATTAAACAATGACTAACTCATCCCACAGCTTTACTGAGAGAAAATCAGTATAGATGGCAGTAATTACATCAATTGTGTGCTTGGATTTTCACAAGTCTAACAAGGTTCCCTAGCTAAAACTCTAAAGAAGAGTTAGTGGCAGGCTGCTAATTGGCTAAAAAGGAGAAAATGGAGAGTGGAAATAAATATTGTTCATGGATGTAAGAATCTGATCTGTATTGAAACAAATGCTTTTTAACTTATTCATAAATGATCTTGACTTATACTAAGTAGTAAATATGTCAAATATGGATAACTTTGTTTATGATGGTGGTGAATAAAAAATCTGTTTAAATTGGATGAGTGGTCAACCAAATTGCAAGTGTGGTTCAGTTTAAATGAGTGTAAAGTTTGCCCCTTTGGGCAAAATATTCTTAACTTCACTATATGAATTGATATGATATAAGAAGATCTCAGAATCCTGAAGGTGGTAATTGTGAAAAAAAACAAACCAATTCTATTCTGGGGATCATTAAAAAAGGGTTGAAAATAAAACTGCCAACATTGTAAAGCCCTTAAACAAATCTGCTGGGTGCATGTGCATTTGCCCACGTGCACATTAATAGCCATCATTAGGACAATTTGTCAGCATGTGGCATATGAGAAGGAGGGAGATTTTTAACTCATTCTTGCTGTGCTATTTTGTTGGACAATACCCCTTTCATCACATAGCTGCTCGTGGGTCCTGATCGTTGCTAATGAACTGCTGCCTTCCATCCAATTTCAAGGTCAGTCATAAAAGGCTCTGCTAGTAGAAAATTTAGCTAGTTGCTGCTTCAACACATCTGAAAAATGCCAGATTTAAGAAGGCATAACATAATTTTTAAAGAGCGCAACCTCAGGTGCTACATGTAGCAACATTTTTTATGTGAATTAGTCTTTAAAATGTGCTCAAGTAATAAGATATTTGGTTAGCTTATGTATGTCTTAGGTTGATACGGGTTTGGTAACTTCAGTATTCCATTTTATCTACTTTTAACTGTTTCATGATGGGTATTCTAACAAGCTGTTTTTACTAAATTACTCCTTAATTAATATTTAATTAATAATTTCCAAGTTTACATTGCTCATATTCCCATCCTATTCTTGTCAGAGGCACCATTTAAGGTGCTTCTGGTTGAAAGAATTAGTGACATCACTGTTGCCCAGGGGATGCTGGGGCAGGGGCCCATCAGGGACCTGGAGCAAATGATGGGAGCTCACCCCACCATGCAGCAGCACTTGGGTCTCAAACACGGGTTGTTAACCTCCAACTCAGCATCCTAACCACATGAGCCACTGGGCTCCATATTCCTCATTAAAATCTCAGGATACCTGTTGGATCAGGCCAAAAGTCTATGAGGTATAGTAATCTGATCTACTGGGCCAAATGCTTGAGAGGATCAAAAGCTATATAAGACCATGTCACCTGTCTGTAAAAGTCAAAGCCTGAACCCCAAATCACAGGATGGATAGATAACCTTGAGGGCTTTTCAGTTAAAAAAATATGATAACTATATTTTAATATTTTTAAATCATTGGTGAGGTATCCAGTTATGTTTGCAAAGAACCTGTAACTTTTCCAAGATTTCTTTCATGTGGCAATTTCCTTCAGCTGTAAAAATCCAGACCTTAAAAACTTAATGTTTCTTAAAGCAGTATTTCTTGTAAGTATTACATTTCAGTAAGAAAAAAAAATACTTAAATCTGTATTCCTGTATAGATGTAACTTCACAAAAGTATCAAGGATTTTAGATTGCCAACCCTGTTTCTTGGTGACATAATTACAGCTCTCCAAACACATTACTATCATGAGAAAACTTAGTTAATGAGTCTGGGATCTCATATGCTCTGAAACATTTTAGATTTATGTTCAAATTAGAGTATTTCCTTTACATTTATCTAAGCAGAGATTTTTTTTCTTTGTTTACAGTACTATTCCAACAGACTCTTAATTTTATGTTGGAAATATGTTTTAAGTTGTACACCAATACTAGGTGAAGGATGTGCTTTCAAACTGAAATGCAGCATCAGAGCTGATCTTCAGATGGAATTTAATCTGGTCAGATTCATGTCAGAATCAGACTGTGTCTTACTGAGATGCCTGATTTTAAAAAACACGAAAGTAACATCTCACTATGAAAATCTCATGCAAAATTTATGTGATCCCTCAGCTGCATATAGTCATTAAAGATGCTTATAATTGAGAATTGTGTGCTAGCCTTTTTTGTTTAATTGGAGCTTTAAATTCTCAACCATTCAGTTTTGTAGAACAGCTGCCAAATGGGCATATGAGGAAGTACAGCAGGGCTCTGCTGAGTCTGTGCATTTTCCCTCCATATCCAATTTCTAGTGACCTGAATCTAGGAGTGTGGCAATTTAAAAGCATTTTTTCACAAAAGGGAATAGAATCATCTCTACAACAGGGGCTTTGTCTCATCCCTTCCCCCTCTACTGTTTCAAATTAAAAGCCATTATCACTTTATGAGCTTCAGAAGTAGGCTGACATAGAGAAATTTCAGTTCTCCCTGAACATGACAGAAAGTCCTCCCAGGAAATACTCTTCTGTATTTTCCACTGCTCCATTATTATTATTTTTTATTTTTCTTCCCAAAGTCCCTTTTATTAGACTCTTCACGGTAAAGTAGTATTGATTAGTCTGGTGGTTATATCAAAGAAAATAAAAGTAAAATACACAATCTAATTCCAGGGTAAAATAGATAACATAAAATAACAGTAATGTATCACATCTGGAAAGCATCACTCTATAGCATTAAACAAAATAATCCCATTTCCATTCATTCTTTTTCCTTACAAAAGCTCTCACAGTCGCTTTATCAAGAGAGAAACCAAACACAAAGCCCAGCTGGCCAAACCTAACTGCTTCCTTTTTTACATACTCTGTGACAGGATATTATGATTGTTGTCATTTATTTTCCTTCTCCACTACAATCATCGTCACTTTGCGAATAGGCTGTGTTTCCTTTAGTTCAGGCATGTCAAATTCGCGATGTCACATGACGTTGTGCGACATATCGGGACTTTTTTCCCATTGCTGGCAATGGGGTAGGCGCGGTTTTGTCGTGATGTGTCTGGCCCGCAGGCCAGCAGTTTGACATGCCTGCTTTAGTTATTTTTCTCCTAGTTTCCCACCATATTGTTAAATGAAGATTTTATTTTTCTGGTAACAAATCAGATCCTTGAAATTAAGGTTGGGTGGTGGTCAGGAAAACTTGTTTATAAAATAATGCATTTATTATTATATCAGGAAAATCAATCAATTAGCCTTGTGTTTTTTTCTACTAATGGTAGTTGCTCTGGGAAATTTCTGTTTGTTGTAGTTTTATAGCACGGAACTCCAAAATGAGCCCTGGAAATTCACATTTGAAAAACATAAAATGTAAAAACAAAAATGTAAAAGACAGTAAAATAACTGAATAAAATTCACTCCTTCCTGTGTTATATCTTTTTAGAAGTTCTGTTTAGAAAGGAGATAACTTTCCACTATGTGCACTTCCCTTTCTCTGTCTCTGTTTCCTCCCCCACTTAGGTTTCCCTAAACATACCTGAGATCAGTCCAATGATCACATAGGACAAAAATGTATTTTTAAGAGTACAGACTTTGAACAAAGTTTATCCAATAAACACATAGGCCCTGTATTTTAAACGTTTCAGTAACTAATTAAAAGAATCAATAATAATCAAATAACATGCAGTCTTTTAGATGTTGCTATCTTGTTAGAAAATTCTCTGCTGCATAAATCCAGGCTTTTCCCAATTGCTCACACTAGTTCTACCTGGAAAGGCTACAATCTACAGCATGGGTATCACAAACTCGCCACATCACGTGACGTGTCATGATGTATCGTGACTCTTTGCATAGCTGGCAATGGGGTGGGCATGGCTTGGGTATGATGAAACTGGCTCATGGGCCGGCAGTTTGACACCCCTGATCTAGAGAGAATAGAAAAGAAATGAAAAAATAATGCCTTCAACATGTTGATCCATACAGGAAAAAAAATACTATATCTATGGAACACACCTCAGCCTAATTTTCAAGAATGCCCATAAAGCACTTCCCAATATTCTATATAGCTTGGGGGATGGTTTTAAGTCAGGATGAATTTGTGGCAATAGGAAAATCTCCTTCATGAATCTACATCCCTACAAGCTCTGTGGTTTAATCTGCAACAGTAGCATTTGTCTACAGCAGGGGTTCTCAACCTTGGCAACTTTAAGACTTGTGGACTTCAATTCCCAGAATTCCTCAGCTTTGCTGGCTGAGGAATTCTGGGAGTTGAAGTCCACAAGTCTTAAAGTTGCCAAGGTTGAGAACCCCTGGTCTACAGTAACTATTTCAGATATTATTACCAAAAGAAGGACTGTTAGGTTAGTAGTAGTGCATTTGTTTTGTGCTAAAAGCCCCACATTCAAATAGTGACTCACAGAACATAGAATAACAGGGTTAGAAGGGACCTTGGAGATCTTCTAGTCCAACCCTCTGCTCAAGCAGGTGATACCATTCCAAACAAATGGCTGTCTAGTCTCCTCTTTTAAAACCTCTAGTTCTATCTGACTCCACAGAGAGCCAATAGCATTGAGCAAGATGCTTCTGGGTACTGTAAGGTCTCAGTTCAAATAGTGCTTGGTAGCGATATCTGTATTTAGATTATTTAAGCATGGGTCTTATGTCTGTGATCTAGGGCACAAATTAAAATTAGTTGTTCACATCCTAGTGTTCTGAATGGCCATACCACCTATAAATGGTATAGACCAGGGGTAGGCAACCTTGGCTCTTTTATGACTCGTGGACTTCAACTCCCAGAATTCTTGAGCCACCATGGCTCAGCTTGGAAACTCTCCCTTTCCCCTCAGCATGGCTGGTTCAGGAATTCTGGGATTTGAAGTCCACGAGTCATAAAAGAGCCAAGGTTGCCTACCCCTGGTATAGAATATCATGAATTACCAAAGTTCATATAGCAGAAGGCAAACGTAATTTGAATAAAAGAAGCAGTGAACTAAAAACCCCAAAGAAATATTAAAATGGTTTTTTAAACCATATGATTTCTCCTTTTCATGAACCTTCCCAAGAGTTTATTCATCATTCTTTAAAATTATGTCCATCTTTCCTTCAGGAATTCGAGGTCATGTTTATAGTGTTTCAGCCTCCAATGTTTCGGCAACTCTGTGAGATAAGATGGCTTAAGAGATAATTACACTATGAGTTACTAAGGTTGATTGAGAATGACTTCAATCTGGATCTTTCTGATCCTAGTTTAATAATTTAGCTGCCATATTGATAATGGCCTTCAATATTTTTT